ATTTTTTTTCTTTTTTTTGGTCTGTGTCTGATCAGAAAGACAATACACACATATTCATGAAACACATTTGAAAGCACAGGGAAGGAACAACGGAGAATGTTTACATTGGCCCTAACCCCACCCTTTTATTTAGTTTAGTTGCTTTTTTTTTTTTTTGAGTCAGCTGTCTCTATTCACCACGTGGGTTCGGAGAATAGAACTCGAAGAATAGAACTCGGGCGGGCTGCCAGTCTTGGCAGCAAATGCCTTTCCACCTTTCCCTGATGAACCATCTCGCCGGCCTACACTTTTGTCTTAAACGGAGTCTCCTGTAGCTCAGGTTGGCCTCTAACTGGCTATGTCACCAAGTGTGGTTTTGAACTCCCGAAGCCTCCTACCCTCCACCTCCCCAGTGCTACATTTACAGGCAGGGGTCACAGTGATTCCTGACTCTAGTGACAGCTTTAATACTGATGGTGGCTTTTAGAGATTCTGTGTGTATGTAGAAATATCTACATTGATGCGTATAAAAAATACAGACACAATGTAATGACAACACGCGGGGAGCCTGGGCAGATTCCATGGCAGACGGACAAACACACCAGGCAGACAGAGCTTAAGTGAAGAGTTTTATTAGAAAGGGAAGGGAGGAAAGAGAAAACAGGTAAAGAGACAGAGAGGAGGGAGACAGGAAAAGTCCTGTCTGTCCCAGGGGAACAGCGGGAAAGAGAGCGTTAAGTGGGCAGGGGTCTGACTTTTAAAGGGTCCTTTGCACCTGCCTGCAGACTAGAACTCATGGGACCCTGTGCTGACCAGGGCACTGCCTGAGTGCATTCTGCCAGGTGACGGGCAGGCCAGCGTAATGCCTGAGTCCTTACATACACATATAGCTGTCCTTTAGGATTCATGAGAGAGTAGTTCTCATACCTGCTCCTAAAAGCCAAAATCAAGATGCTCAAGTTCCTCATTTAAAAAGAAAAAAAGTGTCCCAATTTGCACATAACCTATGCATCGTCTCATATTCAATCACTTCAAAGCCAGATGGTGGTTGTGCACACTTTATTCCCAGCACTCCAGAGGCAGATGTAGGGGGATGCCCTGTGAGTTCAAGGCCAGCCTGTCTATATAGAGAATTCCAGGACAGTTAGGGCTACCCAGAGAAGCCTTGTGTCAGAAAAACAAAACAAAAACAAACAAGCAAACAAACAAAAATCAACCCAATCTGATGCATCGAAATCCTTCGCAAATAATTATTACACTACATTGTTGAGGTGGTAATGAGGAAGAATCTGCACAAACATGCCCCTCTCCAATAATGCACCTAGCAGCCTCTCAATTCCCCCACACCACACACACATGCATCCGGCCACGGTGCTCCCTGAATAAGCTTCCCTGGCCCTGGTAAGAAACAACCAGGAAGTTGTGTGTGGGGTGGGGTGGACATTGTGCACGCATCCATGGTCTGTGACGCTGGTGCCCTGAGCAGGACAAGGACAGTGGGCGCAGAGGAAGTCTGCATCGCTGTCTCAGGCGGTGACAAAGAACAGCAAGGTGGTTGTGGGAAATCCCCTAAAGCAGTGGCTCTCAGTCCATGGGCTTCTGTGGGGTTGCAAACCCTTCTGTGGGGTTGCAGACCAGATACTTACATTCTGATCCGTAGCAGCAATATTATAGCTGTGAAGTAGCAATGGAAACGATTTCGTGGTGGGGGAGGGTCAACACAATGTATTAAAGGCTGCAGCATCAGGAAGGCTGAGAGCCACTGCTTGAAGGGGGAAGGTCACCTGACAGGGAGAGCGTGTCCCCAAAGGACACTGGGTGTCCCGAGACAAGTGAGGACAGGGGGGTAGCCCGGCTTAGGGCTCAGGGTAAACACCGCGGTCAGCGATAGAAAACTCTCCTCCCCCCCCCTTCCCCTGTCCCCTCCCCTCCTGTCTCCCCTTACCCACCCCCCCCCCCCTGCATCCCTCTCTAGCTCCCTTCCTCTCCTCTTTTGAGACAGGTTCACGAACACCCCGCTGGCTTGCACAGGGTCTCTGAGTGTGGAAAGGTCTGCGCCGCCTCCGAGCAGGTGTTGGAGAAACTAATGTGTGGGAGGGAGGATTAAAGAGAGACGGTCCCAGGGTCGCACAGGCGTGGAGGAGATTTGTCTGCTAGTCTTCCAGGAACAGGTGACTGCCTAGGGATGGGAGAGCAAAGGGTGTGGGGGGCGAACCCGGGGGAGGATGCAGACTGCTGGCTCTCCAGGGCCAGGACGGGGCCACACTGTTCTGTCAGCGCGACACGGACCACTGACAGCAGAGTCTAGACACTCCTAGACAGAGCCCCTGCCCCTGCCCGCTGCAACTGCAGGCCGGAGACAGCCTCCGGCAGCGTCCCGGAACGCCCTGCCCTCCTCGTCTGACCCTGGGCCGGGCTGCCTGGGAAGAAGGGCGCACACTTGAGAGAACTCCCTCAGCAGTCTGGCACGTAGGCAAGCCAGAGCAGCAGCCCACCGTGGGCGGCGCCGCCCCCAGGCAGACGTCCCGGTGTGCACGAAAGAAAGCCGGAGCAAGCCAGCAAGCAGCACCCCTCCTTCGTCTCGGCTTCAGTTCCTGCCTCCAGGAGTGCTGCCCTGACTTCTCTGACCTTTGATCTTAACACTGGAACCTGTGCCCCAAATAAAGCTTTCCTCTTCAAGTTGCTTTTAGTCTGGTTTTTATTTATTATTTTTATTTATTTATTTATTTTGGTATCACAGATTGAAACAGAAAGCAAACTCAGCCAGTCCCATCCCAAGGCAGGAGGAACAGGGTGAGAATTTGAAAGCAGCCAGTCCTACCTCTCCCGCGAATAACATTTGGGATGCTTGGGACACTCGTGCAGCTTTCGGTTAACTACCAAGTCCTTTCTGTGTAGCAGGCATTGTGTTGGATCAGGGATAGTGTGAGAAAAGAGTCCTTGCCTGTGAAGTCTCACAGGCTGGCGGGGATGACAAACACTCCAGCTGAGGTCTCTTCCCTCCTCTCTCTGCCCCCCTCCTCCTTCCCCTTTTCATCTGATAGGGTATTTTGTTTTTTGTTTTGTCTTAAGATTTATTTGTTATGTACACAGTGCTCTGTCTGCATGTATGCCTGCCCTGCCAGAAGAGGGCACCAGATCTCACTATAGATAGGTATGGGCCACCATGTGGATGCTGGGAATTGAACTCAGGACCTCTGGAAGAGCAGCCAGTGCTCTTAACCTCTGACCCGTCTCTCCAGTCCCATCTGATACAGTTTTATGTAACCCAGACTGGGTTCAAACTCATTAAGTAGTCAGGACTGACCTTCAATCTCTCATCCCCGGCTCCTGCCTCCTGAGTCCTGTCCTGGAACTCTCTCTCTCTCTTTCTCTCTCTCTCCTTTCTTTCCTCCCTCCCCCAAGGTTCTCACTCCCAGCCATATCAGCCTGGAACTTAGGAACCCATGATCCTCCTGCCTCAGCGTCCCGGTGATGAGCTCCGGCACAGTCAGCTCTCTGTGGCTCTCAGGGATGCTCATATCATCTCCTAGAGCACCTGAACTGAACATGCCCATCCTCCACCAAGAGAATGTCCTCATTGTGACTTTGCAGCCAGGTACAGCGATGTTCGCACCTCATCTCAGAAACTGGGAGGCTGAGGCAGGAGGATCTTAGATTGGAGGCTAGCCTGGGCTACAAAGCAAGACCCTGACCTAAGGGCATATACAACGGGGAGCCTAGGAGATGGCAAGGCAGGTAAAGGTGCACGCTGAAAACATGGCAGGAGACAAGCAACTCCACCGTGTCATCCGTCAGCTGACCGCATCCAGGAGCCCTTGTCCGCTCGTGCACACGCCCACAGCACCCCTCAAAACAAGCAAGCAAGCAAACGTCAAACAGAAATAGGGGACCCGGTGTGGCTTGGTTGATGGAATGCTTAATGCCTGCCTGGGTTCGATCCCTAGAACCACGAAACTGAGTGTGGTGGTGACACTTGCCACCCCAACACTGGGGATACAGGGGTACAAAGGTCAGAAGCTTGAGGTCGTTCTCAGCGACACAGTAGATTCCAGGCTAGGTTGGGCTATAGGAGGCCTAGCCTCAAAAAAAAAAAAAAAAAAAATTAAATTAAAATTGTTCTTGGTGTGGTACTACATGACTATAATTCCCAAACTTGGGACACTGAGGCAGGAGGATCACCATGGATTCGAGTCTAGGCTGGAATACAAAATAGGATCCTGGTCTCAAAACAACAACAACAACAAATCCAGTAGGGGCTGGAGAGATGGCTCAGAGGTTAAGGGCACTGGCTGCTCTTCCAGAGGACTTGGGTTTGATTCCCAGCACCCACATGGTGGCTCATGATCACCTGACCTCTGGTGCCAGACGGTATGGCACCCTCTTTGGCTTCCGAGGGTCCTGAATGCGTGTGATGTAAACACACATGAAGGCAAAACACCCACACGTGTAAAAGTAAAAGACAAAAACTAAACAACAGCAGTGAGGGCTAGAGAAATAGCTAGGCCGTTGTGAGCACTTGTTGCCATTGCCGAGGAATGGATTTCAGGTCCCAGGATTTGTGTCGGGCAGCTTTCAAATGCCTGTAACTCCAGCTCCTGTGCACGCATGCATGCACACACGCACACACACACAGAGAGAGAGAGAGATAGAGAGAGAGGCAGACAGACAGACAGACAGAGATTTTAACACTTCCAAAAAAAAAAAGAAAACAATTAAAATGGATGTCACCTAACATGTCACCAAACAAGATGTTGCATTAGGGCCACAGGAAAACAAGCAAGTGCACCCCAGAGTGTGTTGCTTTAAGAAAAAACGTCAGGTGCCAGTGGGAAGGGGCAGTTCCTGGCCTGGCAGCTGGTGGCGTGGGCACCATCTCACCAGCTGGCTGCCTCCGGGTAGCTGGAGGGCACGCGTGAGCGCTTAATTTTGCCTCGAGAGCCCAGGAGAACAGTGAGTGAGCAGTGTCCTCTTGAACCTGGGAGGGGAAGACCAGATAGATACTCTGTCCAGGCCCCACTATGTGCAGATTGGAGCCAGTTCTGAAGAGGTCCCTGGTGGTCCTCCTTTTCCTGGGCCTGACAGACGCCTGCATTCCTCGTGAAGGTAAAGTTTCCACTCACCCCTCATCTCTTCTCCGTGGCGTCTTAGGATGGAGGCTACTGGGGCTGGACTCAATAAGCAACTCTGAGGTCTACCACAGGCTTCCTTGCTTTAAGCTTAGGCAGTCCATTCTTTTTTCTTCTCGTGGAGATGGTTGCATGATTCCTCGGTTGTTTGTTGGTCTTGCCCTTAAAGACTCTGGTGGCTTCATGAGTTCCTAGCTGGTGGCCTTACCCTTGGAGGTACTAGTGTCTACATTAGTCCCATGCTGTGGGATTTGCCCTTGGGGACACTGATGGCTTCATGAGTCCTAGGTGGGTGGTCCTGATCTGAAGATCCTAATGGCTACATGAGTCCCTCCCTGGTGGCTGTCCCTGGACACGGACATACTGTCACCTACATCCTGGTTCTCATAAGTGTGTCTGTCGGCCAGCCTCTTGTCTTCATCCGTTCCTCATTAGTCATAGAGTCCCCTGGACTGCTCTGTGTCACTGCAGAGATCAAATTGGTGTAGTATTGGGAGCCACCAGCCCTCTATCCGGTCCTCTGCAGTGTAAAGATGCCAAAGACTACACCGGAAAGACTGGAGCCTTGTCACGAAACTGCATTCCTCCCCCACTATTAGATCTGCAACGCTTTCAAGTTTTAGTTTGTACTCAACGCTGGTATTAGTCAGGGAAGGGCGGGCACAGCTCTGTCTTGATGTGAGCCTCGTAATGAACAGATAACCGCATCCCAGTAGAGGGCTCTAGGTAAGACCATTCTGGAAAAGTGATGTTTGAGACGAGGCCGGCTAAGGGGTTGGAGATTATTTCAGGCAGATGGAACTGTGTGTGTGAGAAGATGTTGGGCTGGAAGACACCTAGTCCCTTCAAGGCTCTGAGAGTAGTCAGTGTGGCCTATTGGTGGATGGTGGATAGAATGAGGGCACAGTGGGTGAGCAAAGGCTCAAGTAAGGGTAGAGAGAATGTGGGAATCAGAGTATACTGGTTATGGGGGTCATATGAAGCATATGATTGCTTGCTCCTCCTTCCTTTGACCCGTCTTTCCTTCCTCTTTTATTTTAAAATTTGTATCTATCTGTCTGTCTGTCTGTCTAATATATCATCTATATCCACATATTTATCTAACTTTCATCTATCTCTCTGTCATCTATCATCTACCTACCTTCTATCTATCTATCTTTCTAATCTATCATACTACTTATCTATCTACCTACTTTCATCTATCTAGCTATCTATCATCTATCTATCATCTGTCTACCTATTATCTATCTCTCCATCTACCTATCATCTTTCTTTCTTTCTATCATCTATCATCTATCTACCTATCATCTACCTATCTACCTATCATTTATCTCTCCATCTACCTATCTACCTATCATCTGTCTGTCTGTGTGCCTGCCACAGAGTTCATGTGAAGATCAGAAGACACCTTATAGGAGTTGGCACTCTCCTTTCACCATGAGAATCCCAGAACTCAGATCATTAGGCTTTGGCGAGGGACAGTGCCTTCGCCTGCAGAGTCCTCTCACCTGCTCCTCTTCTGGGCCCTTAGTCTTCTCCTGTCTTTCGTGAACTTGAAACATTTAAATGCTTCTGGCTGGTTGGTCTCAGCATGTCTCCTAGACTGAGTGTCCTATGATTAGACTGAGGTTGTGCATTTGGGGGCAAGAATACACCAAAATAACACTGTGCCCTCATTGGGGAGTTATAGCCAAGTGATTGATAATGGTTTGTCTCTCGCCTGTGATGTTTGCTTGGCTAAGGTTATTGGAAAACCACGTTTCTCCACTACCTGTTACCATTTCCCTTATTGTAATTGATACATACTATAGGGGAGATACTATACATATGTGTTCTTTTTCTTTTCATCTTGATCAATTTATTTTAGCATCCAACTGTAGATCTTGCCTTAAGAAGGGATTGCTGGCAGTGGTGGCACACACCTTTAATCCCAGCAGAGGCAGAGGCTGTTGGATCTCTAAGTTCAAGGCCAGCCTGATCTACAGAGAAAGTTCCAGGAAAGCCAGGACTGCACAGTGAAACCCAGTCTCTAACCACCTCCCCAAAGCAGGGGTAGTGGTGGATTGCTGTAGTGTCTACCAAACAGAGATTTTTCTGTTCTCTTTATCTGTTCTATACATATTAATTGTAATTCCTAAGTAAGAGAGGGGCTGATCTAGGAAGATGGCTCAGTCGTTAAGAGTGCATACTGATCTTGTAGAGGAGCTGGGTTTGGTTCCCAGCACTCAGCTCACAATGACCTGTAACTCCAGGTCCTTGACGATCTGATGGTTCTGACTTCTGCAAGCACCTTCACTTGTGTGCACACAACACACACACACACACACACAGAGAGAGAGAGAGAGAGAGAGAGAGAGAGAGAGAGAATTAAAAATAAAATTTAAATTTAGAAAGAGAGGAGGTTGACTTATGTGAATGTTCATAACAATGCAAACTCACAACGCCTTGTCTGTCAGTGGATGGTCTTTTGATGGGTCCGATGTTGACAATCACAGGTTCTCTTTCAGACATGCTAAAGCTGAAGAGCCTGTAGATGACTGAGGCACCCACAGGCTGCACGTTTCAGAAGAACATCACTTGGAATGTTTTGTTCACTCCTCTACCAAGAATTCTTTGCCCAATCAGCTTTGCAAATGTCTATTAGAACAGAGCTGAGTCCAATTTACATGTGTCTCCTAGGCCCTAAGCATAAGCTGGAGGATGAAGCAAGTGAATGTTGGCTGGCTGGGTGGGTAGATGGAGGGGCGAATAGGTATATGACTGACAAGTAGATGATAGATAGAGGGATAAAAGGAAGGATGTGCGGATGTGTGGAAGGATGGGTGGATGGATAATGAATAAGTTTATGAGTGGTTGAATAGCTGTAAGGTTAAATAGCTAGGTGGGTAATTGATGAATGGAAGGATCGGTGGATGGATGATGGACAAATACGTGGTGAATGGATGGATGGGTAGATGGACAGATGAGTGGATGAGATGTATGGTGAATGGTGGAATGTGTCAATGGATAGTAGATACATTTATGGATGGATGAGTCGATGGAGAGCTGGTGAAGCAGGTATATGGGTGGATGGATCAAAGGATGGATGGGTAGATGATTAACAGCTGTTGATGAACGGGTAGATATGTGAGTGGATGAATGAATTGAGATGGATACCGGGTACATTTATGGGTGTGCAGATGAGTAGACAGATGGGTGAATAGGTGGTTGGAAGAATGGGTGAATGGATGATGGGTAGGCATATGGCGAATGGGTGGGCGGATGGGTATAGGAGAGGGTGGGGAATCGGTAGGTGGATAATAGGTGTGTGGGTGGGCAGACACGTAGATTGACGGGTAGATATGTGTGTGAGTAGACGAGGGAGCCTGAGGAACTTCCATAGAAGCCGTGGGTATTAGCTAGGCTGCAAAACCACAACAGTCGTGGTGCTCTTGATTACTGTAGTGACTCATGTCTAACTCTCTCCCTGCGCCTTCTTCCTGGTCCTGCTGGAACCCACATGAATGATGCTTCTGCCTCCAGTCGCAATGCAAGAAAAAAGTAAGAAGCCCCATGTTTGTGCCCTCACAGATGGCTCCTCTCAGAGTCTGTTGGGTCTGGAAAAGCCTCTGAGAATTCTGGGGGAGGGTGAAGTGTGGCTTCAATCTGTCATACAGAGGGTCATAAAATAACTATTAAAAGTAAGCAGTTACCAGGCATGATGAGATGCGCTCCCCAACACTCGGGGAGATGAGGAGGGCCAGGAAAATTGGAAGTCCAAAGTCACCCTCAGCTACCCAGTGAGAACAGGGATAGCCTGTGCTACGTGAGAGCCTGTTTTTAAAAAAAAAAAAAAAGAAGAACAGACTGGTTTAATAGAAAACAGCTGGATCCTCACATCTGTAGCCGCAGCCATTATGTTATGAAGCGTTCATTTGATTGAAGTTTGTTAAACTGCAATCTCAGTCATGGAAGGAGTTGAAGTGGTGTACAAACTCTGTTTTAGCCAGAATTCTCCAGAGAACCAGAAAGAACAGACCAGAGAGAATAAATAGAACATAACTAAATGGAAGTAGTCTGGAATAAAAATGAAATAGAATGAAAATATAAGAGAAGTAGGTTAGTACCAGGTAGTAGTTTAATCTCAGCACCCAGGAGGCAGAGGCAGGGGCATCTCTGTGAGTTCGAGGCCAGCCTGGTCCACATAGTGAGATCCTACCTTTACATTGGTTCCAGGCATCAAACGCGAGGAAAAGAAAGAAAGAAAACAGAACAGGATAATATATAAAAGAGTAGGAAATAGACTATAACAATAGGATAGAGTAGAATAGAAACAGAATAGAACGGACTAGGATAATCTTAGGAACAGAATAGAATAGAATAGAATAGAATGGAATGGAATGGAATGGAATGGAATGGAACGGAACGGAACGGAATGGAATGGGATGGAATATAAAGGTGTGAAGGAATTTATTGGGGGATATTAGTTCACTTGATGGTGGCGACTGAGAAAGTGCACAACAAAACATCCCAAGCAGCCAGGTGTGGTGGCACACACCTTTTATGCCAGCACTCAGGAGGCAGAGGAAGGCGGATTTCTGTGAGTTCGAGGCCAGCCTGGTCTACAAAGTGAGTTCCAGGACCAAGGTTCCTGGTACTCAAAGCTACAGAGAAACACTGTCTTAAAAACAACAACAAAAAGAGAAAGAACATCCCAGGTTGGTAGTGTGGCTCAGTCCAAATGGGAGTTTTAGAAACAGAGACCAGTGATATAATTCTGTCTAAGGCAAAGGTCCACGGGCCCATGGAGTCACTGACATAGCCTTGGAGTTCCAAAGGTTCAGAATCTGGAGTTTTGATGTCCAGGAGTAGGAAATGAAGGATATTACAGTTGCAAGAGAGCAAGTATATTACCCTTCTTCCGCCAGCCTACTGAACAGCACACGCATCTGTTGAGCGCCATCTCCTCCACAACACACCTGCAGACACTCCAGGACCACACAATCATCCTCAGCCAGTGCTGAGCCACTTAGAACCATCGATGCAATGATGAGACGAAACCAAGCTTTCCCAGCTACCTGAGTATCCCTTAAGTCAGTCAACCATCACACCCTTGAAAAGTCCTCAGGGATGGATGACCCAATGGTTCTTGCACATGATTTCTCCATGACACAAGGAACAGGGGAAAGGCCAACGAGTCTATGAATGCCCAGAAAGTGTGAATCCTTGTCTTTAATCTTACTGCCTAGGAAAATTCCTAATACTCAGCTGGAATGAATACATGTGCAAGTGTAAGAAGATGCTATTCTTTTGGCGAGAGCATAGAGAAAGGGAACCTGGTGGGAATTAGGTACCTAACATGCCTTGAGCATTGCAAACACGCCATGCAATTGTGTTGTCAAATCCAGGTTGCCAAACCTCCGAAGCCACCTACACTGTGCCGGGTGTGCAGTATTTACCCGCCAAGCCATCTCACCAGCGCAATTTCTTTTTAAAAACAAAGTCACACTATGTTAGCTTAGGCTTGCCTCAAAACTGTGGTAACCCCCCTGCCTTAGCCTCCTAACTGCTGAGATTCTTGACATGAATCACTACGAAGGGCTGGAGAGATGGCTCAGCTGTTAAAGGCTAGGCTCACAACCAAAAAAAGTAGTTTTTAAATGTTTCTTATAAGAACTAACTATCGGGCTGAAGAGATGGCGTGGGGGTTAAGAGCACTGGCTGCTCTTCCAGAGGTCCCGAATTCAATTCCCAGCAACTACATGGTGCTCATAGCCATCTACAATGAGATCTGGTGCCCTCTCCTGGAATGCAAACATACATGCAGTCAGAAAACTATATACATAATACGGATGCAGAGGCTGCTTATACTGAGGTCCAGCTGCATGAATGAAGTGTTCTTTCTATATAGATGTGCACCTGTCTCTAGATATACATACATACCTACATACATATATATGCAAATGTGTACCTATGTAAAGCTGACTTACAAAACACAAGACTAAAGGGAATGTCTCCTTCAGGGTTTCAATTGCTGTAAGGAGACACCAGTGACCACTGCAACCTCTCACACAGGAAAACATGTGCCAGCCAGGTGGGGCTGGCTTACAGTGCACAGGGTTAGTTAGTACATTCATGTCACGGCAGAACACAAGCAGACATGGTGCAGGAGAAAGCTGAGAGCTCTACATCCGGGTCAGCAGGAAGCATTTGAAACCTCAAAGCCCGCCCCCCCCCATTATACACTTCCTCCAATAAGGCCACACCCACTCCAACAAAGCCACACCTCTTAATAGTGCCGGTCCCTAATGAACAAGCATTCAAGTCTATAAGCCTATAGAGGCCATTCTTAATTCAAATTACCACAGGAGGATTCTGGGTGCTTTTGGCAATCAGTGTTACCGCTATTTTGACTTTTCTTAACTAACTGCATAGAAGCTCCTCACTTTATAACAATGGGCCTGTAACCAATCCACCAAGCAACAAAGGAGTACAGGGAGAGAGTTGAGTAGTTTGCCTGCGTATTAACCCTACTCTGTACTTTGCCTCCGTTTCCCATGCTGATTCGCTGGCTCCTGGTTCTGGCTCCTCGTCCAGTCAAATGTAAGTCACTGTCTATATAAATAAGCAAGGGTTGGGGTGGGGGGATGGGATTGACTTCAAGGCCCGCCGTTCTCTTAGATCTGGTAGAAATGGTACTCGAAAGAGAGGAAGAAAGAATCATTGGTTTCCATGACTATAGTTTGATATTAACATCAATAGGATTAATGAACTAACCTGGGTAGGAACCCACTCTTATCTGCACAGCCAGGCTGGACTGGGTGGGTATTCACTGGAGAGTTTCAGGGCAGACAGGCTCTCTTCTCTTCTGAGAAGTAAAACCATCTCAGACTCCAGTCAGAACAGAAGGTGATGGTTGTTATGGAGACCATATTCTGCTAATCTCCCGGAGGTCAAATGGAACAGGAAGGGTTTGGGTTTCTCACATAACTGGTACCTTGGAGTCCTCACTCCTGGAATAAACATGTCTCCAAAGAGAAGGAGGGACCTTAGGTTACACCAAAGCTCCCCATTCTGGTTCCTTACCCTATTTGGAGTGTGCTGAGGGACAATACACAACAATGACTTAACTGACTCCATATTCCTTCTCAACTTTGATTGCACAAATGTTCTAATTGGTCCCGGCTCATCCCTCCTCCCTGATGTCCTCCTGCCTACAGTGCTGAAAGGTAAGAGTCTCGACCTGTTTCCTTCCCCATCCGTTCTAGTTTGCCCCACAGACATAATATCAGCTGGTGTTCAACCAGCGTTTCCTGTGCTGTCTCCACAGCCCAGCTTCTCATTTAGGGACCAAAGAGAGCCGAGTACCTAGAATACCTGCTTTGACAGAATTCAAGATCACTCTTTTTCCTCCAAAAATTCAATGTTTTTTTCCCTGGGTCCATTATGCACCTGTTTTGCATCTTGGTGAGAACAAGATCAAAGCAAACTCAGCCGAGAAATGAGAGTAAAGAGAGAATTATCATCCACAGTAGGCGAGGGGAGGCTAATGATTTCCAGAGCAGAGCCCTCCTGCGACAAAGGAATCCACAGACTCAAACAGGAAAGCGCTCAAGGGAAGGCGTATTCCCCAGTGTGCTTATTGAAGGTTCTATCTAAAGAAGGGACCATCACATTGTGGGGCATGTTTAGCTCAAGGTCATGTTAGAAGAGTTAAAGATAGCAGCCAGGAACACATCTGCGCATGCCCAGTTTGAATCACAAACACGGTGGAAATACTTCTGAGCATGCTCAGCTTGGGTTGTAAGATGAATGGCAGGAACATCCCTGAGCATGCTCTGTTTGTGTCATAAGACAGTGGACTGGAATCTTTCTGGCATGTTCCATCTTTAATCATGAAATTGTCTTTGTTTCTGTCCCAGCCTGAAGCTTATATTAGCAAGGAAGACCTTTTTTTAGGGACAAACTCCTTCAAACTGTCCTTTTACTCCACCCCCCAGTGGTCAGACATGGCGGTGCACATCATTAATATCAGCACTCGGGAGCTAGAGACAGGTGGATCTCTGCGTGTTCCAGGCCAGCTTGGTCTGCTGCAAAGGGACTCTTGGAACCAGAGTCTTCATCTCTGGCCATGCATCATGTCCCAATGTAGATCCCACTTCCCAACACGTTCCCAGCCCCCAGCATCTGACCTTGTTTTTCACTTTCTAATTATGGCTTTGTCTCTATACCCATCCAACAACGTTCTGCTCCAACTTCATCTGTAATTTTGGCCACCACGTCATCTCTCCCGGCCCTGCTGCCAATCAGGAATCGTGGGTAAGCATGTGAGTCACGCTGATAATGTCATGGACTGGAAAGTTCAGTGGATAACTTTGAGTAAGAATTTGCAGACTAGAAGGTACGTTGGGAGATAGATAGAGGCAGGGGCTCTGTGAGTTTGAGGCCAGCCTGCTCTAAATAGAGATTTCATTTCCAGGACAAACTCCAAAGCTATACAGACCCTGCACACACGCACATATCTTTAAAGGGGGTAGACAAGATGGCTCAGAAGGTGGAAGGGCTTGCCACTAGATGACCTGACCTTGTTCTAGAGACACACACAGTAAAAGGAGAGAATCAACTCCAGAAAGTTATCCTTTGTCTTTCACGCATGCAGTGCAGTATGAGCAACTCCTCATTTTAAAATTAAGAACGGGGGGGGGGGAGAGGGGGGACTGGAGAGATGGCTCAGAGGTTAAGAGCATTGACTGCTATTCCAGAGGTCCTGAGTTCAATGCCCAGCAACCACATGGTGGCTCACAACCATCTGTAATGATATCTGCTCCCCTCTTCTGACCTGTAGGGATACATTCAGATAGAATACTGCATATATAATAAATAAATAAATATTTTAAAAAAATAAATAAAGAACGGGCCAGGGTTTAGAGAGATGGTTCAGTGGTTAGGAGCACCTACTGCTCTTCCAGAGGATCTGAGTTCAGTTACCAGCAGTCATGTCCAGCAGCTTATAACTCCAGCTCCAAGAGATCCATTACCATCTTTTGGTCTTGGCAGGCAATGCACTCACACATACACACACACACACATTTAAAACTTAAACATTAAATCTTGGCGGGGGGGATGACATGATAGGTAGCTCCTCAAATAGCATTAATATGCACATGCATGCACGTAGAAAACTGATAAGATTTTAGCATGTGTCATGCTGCTCAGGTGATGGAAACCCAAAGGTGGAACTCGTTCAGAATCTAGTGGGTCACAGCCATGTACTGCGTCACAGTCATATGCTGGGTCAGTGACGAACTACATACACTCCAACAGACCTTCAAGCGACATGTCAATGCCATAACCAAAACCTCAGTTTAAGGAAGCCTACTCTATGATGCTTGCACAGTGATGAAATTGCCTTCAGACCACACTGGAGGCAAACGATGCCTTACGTGATGGAGCTGGGGCAAGGGAATTCTAAATCAGTGGTTCTTGGCTTTCCTGATGCTGCGACCCTTTAATACAGTCCCTCGTGTTGGGGTGACCCCCAACCACAAAAGTATTTCCGTTCCCACTTCATAACTGTAATCTCGCTACTGTCATGAGTCATAACGTAAATACCCGATGTGCAGACGGTGTTAGGCAAGCCCTGTGAGAGGATCATTTATTTGACCAGCAGGTTGAGAACCACTGCTTTCATGCTAGCTGGTGGGTGGGTTTTCCTTTCTTCATTCGTTAAAGAATGGGAAGACTTTCTGTGAGTTCGAGGCCAGCCTGTTGTACAGAGAAAGTTCCGGAACATCCAGGGCTACACAGAGAAACCCTGTCTTGAAAAAACCGAAATGAAACAAAAGAAGACAGGAAGACAGCTTGGCACCCAGTGAAAGTTCAACGGCAGACGTAGGTTTACCAGGTGGAGGAGGGACTCTGAGAAGCTCAGCAGCTCTAAGGGGTTAGGCGTTTTTTATTGTGGGTTTAGGACATCCCACCTGGTAATTCTCCCTCTATCCTGTTTTCTATTGGTCTGAAGTTGTCTTTGTGTCCCTTCTGCAGCAGGGACTGAGTCTCTGTCTATGTCCACAAATGCGGAAACATCTGGGGACGGAGTGGGTGTCCCAACATCCTTTGCTCTTGGGGTGTAACAGGTTCAGAGAGATCTATCTACCACACTGTGTGAGGGAAAATGGGCTGCATCTCATAGCGATAGAAACTGCTGGGGGGGGGCAAAAAGCCACAAAGAAATGGCATCTTAGTGCTGGAGAGATGGCTCAGCGGTTAAGGGCACTGGCTGCTCTTCCAGAGGTGCTGAGTTCAATTCCTAGCAACCACATGGTGTCTCACAACTGGTGCCCTCTTGTGGCCTGCAGGCATACAAGCAGACAGAACACTATACATATTAAGTAAAAAAAAATAGCCAGGTGGTGGTGGCACACACCTACTTAGGAGACAGAGATAGATGGATCTCTGTGAGTTCAAGGCCAGCCCTGTCTACAGAGTGAGTTCCAGGACAGCCTCTAAAGCTATAGAGAAACCCTGTCTCAAAAAATCAGAAAAACAAAAGAAACAAAGAAATGGAAACTTATTGCCCATTGTTGAGGGCAAAAATCCCATTAAAACCAAGCAAACTGGGCTTATAATACTCCACCTTCATCCTAGGTGACCTTGGCCTCCTAGGTCCTAGGACCTAACATGCCATAGCCACATTTCCCCCAGAGAGTTGGCTGACCATTGGACTGGGGAAAATCCACTAACTGTGGATATTTTTTTCCTGTTGCAATTGCTGTGTGTGTTGACATCATTTTTTTTTCTGTCTCCTTCCTCAGGGCTGATGAGCAGACTGTCCCCAGAAGGTAAGTGTGTATCTATGCCCTCAGCCCACAGTCTTTCTTTCTTGTCAATGGGTGACACAGCCCTGTCGAGGCTACAGAATGTCTCGTGTATTACCCAGTTCCATGTTTCCTTTATTTGCCTTTTAATGTACACAAAAGATTTGTTGATATTGAAGGGGCCCCATGTGCTGAGGCGTGCGTGCGGAGGTAAGACAACACTTGGCATGAGTTGGTCCCAAGAATGGAACTCAGATCTTCAGACTTGCTAGCCAGCACCCTTACATGCTGGCCCATCTTGCTGTCCCAGAATTTTTGATGTGTGTGCATGTGTGTGGGGTACACACCTGTGCATTCATGCAAAGGCCAGGGGAGGACATTGGGTATCCTGTTCTATTTCTTCCAGACCTGTTTACATGAGTACCTCCATAAGCCTGGAGCTCACTGTCTTTAGGTCGGCTCAACCCAGCAGGTGCCTGGGATCCTTCTGTTCTGTGTCTCCCTACCATCTCTCTAGTCCTCCGCCTCTATTTTTGGTCAAAAATCAAACTTTTTTTAAAAGACATTATTTATTACGAATATATGTTCTGCCTGCAGGCTAGAAGAGGGCACCAGATCTCATTACAGATGGCTGTGAGCCACCATGTGGTTGCTGGGAATTGAACTCAGGACCTCTGGGAGGGCAGCCAGTGCTCTTAACCTCTGAGCCATCTCTCCAGCCCCCAAAATATCAATCTTATGTTGCATTAATAACTGTAATGCTATATATTATGATATATACATATATGTGGTTTGCAACCTTCCTAATGCTACAACCCGTTAATAGTTTCTCATGTTGTGGGGACCCTCCCAATCGTAAAATTATTTTGTTGCTACTACATAATTGTAAGTTTGCTGCTGTTGTGAATTGTAATGTAAATATATCCGGTATGAAGGATGTCTGATATGTGACCCCCCCCCAAATGGGTCACAACCCACAGGTTGAAAACCATTATGATATAGTAAAATAATATTCCCTTAGCATCTATACAATCAGCTTGGAGTTGAGAGTGGGTAAGGTTAGAGCTATCAGGGACAAAGTGGCAACTGACAATAAAAAATCAGCCACAGGCCAGCAAAATAGCACACTGGAGAAGAGTCACTGGCTGCCAAGCTTGATAAGCTGAGTTCATTCCTCAGGACCTGCGTGGTGGAAAGAGAGGACTGACTCCTCCGAGATGCCCCCGATCTCCACACGTGTGCCGTGATGCACACACACTCCCATTAGTTAAAACGGAATGAAAAAAAAAAAAAAAAAAAAAAACACCTCTGTCTACTTCACAGGGCTTCTGGTCCCCTTTCTCTGCAAGTTGTTGGAACCCATGGATATTATTCATTGGGGTGGACATAGTTTGGGGACAGTCTGTGTACCTAGTGAGTCCCAGGCTGTATCTTTTACTTTTCTCATAGCGGTGACAGAATGCCCCAAGCTTAGGAGAGGGAGGGTTTATCCAGCTCGCAGTTTGAGAGGGCAGCATGTTGGGGAAACCATGGTGTCAGGAAACCTAGACAGCTGGCTGTGCTGCCTCCACAGTCAGGAGACAGAGAGTGACAGCTGCAGGCGCTCGGGGCACATAATCCTTTCCATTCAGCCCGTGGGATGATGGTGCCAGAATTTAGAGTGGGTCCTTCCAGCATCAATTAATTTTTGTCTAGAAAATCCCTTACAGACATTTCAGGAAGTTTGTCTCCAAAGTGAGCCTGGATCCCATGATGCAGACATGATCACAGATCAAGCTGCGATTTGAAATCCTGCCTCAAAAGACCAAGAAAAAAATTATTAAGCACCTTAAATGAGCTAATGGATTTTCAGATCTTCCTCAGGCTTTTTTTTCTCTCTAAGTGGGGGAGATGCCATGCCATACTATTAGGGTGTGTGTGTGTGTGTGTGTGCGCGCGCGCGCGCGCACACGCGCTGTCCAGGACATCTCCTGTTTTAACAGTGACATCTCTCATTCTGGGATCCTTTGTATGTAGGTACGAAGGTTGTTTGTCCTACTTGGAGTTTTTTTTTTTTTTTTTTTCCTTTTTCTTTTTTGAGACAAGGATTTCTGTGCAGTCCAAGCTGATCTTGAACCTCCAGCCCACTGCTCCTGGGTGATGAGATCACATTTGTGCACCATCTGAATATGATGCCATTATGTATATGTGCAGTCCGTGCAGGTGTGCATGTTAGCGTGTGCATGGGTGTGTGTATCGTACATGTTCCTGTGGAGGTCAGAGGTCATTGTTGACTGTCTCCTTCAATCACTCTCCACATTAGTTTTTCTTGACACAGGCTCTCTTCACTGAACATGGAGTTCACTGTTTCTTTTTATTAACATTGTTTGTTTGAGACAGGGTTTCTCTGTGTCACAACCCTAGCTGTCCTAGAACTAGCTCTGTTGAGCAGGCTGGCCTCATACTCACAGAAATCACAGAGATCTGCTTTCCTCTGCCTCCCAAGTGTGTGCCACCACCGCCTGGCTAAAATATATTTACTTTTATCTGATGTGTATAGGTGTTTTGCCTATGTGTGTGTCTGTGAGCCACGTGCATACATTTCCTATAGGGGCCAGAAGGAGGCATCAGACCCCCTGGAACCAGGAGTTACAGGAAGTTGCGAACCACCCTCTGGATGCTAGGAATCAGGAAGTCTTTGGCAAAAGCTCCAGTGTTCTTAACTGCTGAGCCAGCTTTCCGACCTTCCCTGATTTTGTTTTTATGTTGAGGAAATGGAGGAAGAGGGTCACACAGCTGGAGGTGGCAAGTCCTGTTTGTTCAATGACACCTCCCTGGCTCTTAGAACGGAGTCTAGGATGTTAAGACGGCTCATGCGTCCTGGCATCATCCGGCCATAACCTCATCTCTCTGCCCTTTTACACCTGACTTTTCAGGCAGGGCCATCCCCACACTCCTCCCTACGTCTTGGATAAGTTTTTCCTTTCCCTTCCAAGTTTTGTTTTGTTTTGTTTTCCCACTCAGCTAACCCCTGCTCATCTTCCAGGTTTCAGACAAAACAACATATCCTCCTCCAAGACGCCTTCCCTGGTAACCACTCCAGGTCAGCAACCACCACCTCTTCACAAGTTCCCACCATGCCCTGCAGGTTGACCAGAAAACTACTCGGCTCTCTGTCCCAATTCACAGGGCTTTTGGTCCCCTTTCTCTGCCAAGTTCTCGGAAACCATGGATATTGTTCGTTGGGGTAGATATTGTCTCACCCAAAACTTTGCTTGCACCCAGGATACAGTAGGTGCTCCGTATGTTTAATTGGAGAGAGTGGTTTCAGACTTGAGTTTCTGTCTTACCCTGTAAATTGAGAGTTGAGTTGCCTGCTTTTTAATAGCGTTCTCATCTCCGGCCTCTGACTGGTCGGGGATGCTTATTTGGTGGCAAAACTATTAATCTCTCTCTCTCCCTCCCTCTCTCTCTCTCTCTCTCTCCCTTCCTCCTTCCCAACCCCCACCTTTATTCCCACCCCCTCCCTCCCCCATCTTTATTCCTACCGTCCCTCCCTCACCCACTACACACACACACACCTGTCTCTCTGCACCCCTGTGAACATGGATGCATTCATCCTCCCTTACAGACCGGACAGAAGAAGAAAGTAAGTACTTTGGAAGTTTATGATCCCCAACTCCTCTCTCTCTGCCCCCAAATCACCAAGGACGGAGCTCAGAACCTCATGTGTGCTGGGAAGATGCTTTACCATTGAGCCACACCCCCCAAGTCCTCACTAGACAAGTGTTGTAGTGATGAGTCACACCCCAGACACACATCTTACTTCTATTTTCACATTCTCACTTAACTGCCCAAGATAGCTATGACTTCAACTCTGTCTCAAAATAAAAAGTAAAAAGAGAGAGCAGCTCAGTGGTGGAGCCCCTGCCTAGGATCCCCAAGTGAGGGGCTGGGGGGCATGGATCATCGATAGCACTGTCTAAAATCCTCCAGTAAGGGTATGGGGGTATGGCTCAGTGGTAGAGCCCCTGCCTAGAATCCCCCAGTGAGGGGCTGGGGTATGGCTCAGTGGTGGAGCCCCTGCCTAGAATCCCCCAGTGAGGGGCTGGGGTGTGGCTCAGTGGTGGAGCCCCTGCCTAGAATCCCCCAGTGAGGGGCTGGGGGCGTGGCTCAGCAGTAGAGTGCTCTGCTAGCTTGTACAAGGCCCTATACTGAATGCCTAGAGCCACAACAAAAAAGTTTGCTAGAGCAAGTAATTCACAAGCTAGGCAGAGAAAAATCAGAAGTAGTTTGGGGAACTCTGTCGAGACAGGATAGTGGGGCTAGAGGATGGGGACTGGGGAATGATAATGAAAATAGAATGGTGGACGGTCAACAATAATTCCCTTGATTTACCTGGTCCAGTCCATCGTGATGTCCCTGATGTAAGTATATCCGATGTTTCTGAGTGGCTGAGCCCTGGCATAGACTCTACCCATTCGGCATCTCTTACCCAAATCTGGAGAGCACCCAAGTCCAGAACTGGATGTGGTGGCTCACACTTGTCTTTCCAGCCCTTGGGAGGCTGAAGCAGGAGGATTGGCTGATTCCAACCCGCACCGAGAATTGGCGGGTAGCGCAAAGGATAGCCTCGGTCTACGGAGTGAGAAGACCCTGTCTCTAAAATGGCAAAGAAAGGGAGGGTAGAGAGGTGACTCGTTGGTTAACAGCACTGTCTGCTTTCCCAGAAGACTCGAGTCAGCGTCCTAGCACCCACTCAAGATAGCTTACAATTGCCCGTGACTACAGCTGGCCTCCGAGGACACACATGTGGCATCTGCTTACACAGACACATAAATAAAAGTAAAGTAAGCCTTAAAAATAGTTTAAAAAAAAAAACAGTAAAAATGTCACAGAGGCATTTTGGAATAGGGATGTTCAGCCGGTGCAGGCGCTGATGGGAAATCGCTCATTGGACTTGATATGAGGTAACGCTGAGACCACAGTAGAACGGTGACTTTGCCTGCTCGGGGACCCTGCAGACCTGGTCTCCTCTCCAAGTTCATTCAACGGAGCACAAGGACAATTGTTAAACACTTTTTAATTATTTTAAGTGGGGGGAAAAATGTAAGCGCCAGGGACGGAAGGTACTGACATTCATTCTATTCTCTTGCCCATTCCTTTCCGCACCGACGCCTTTGATTCTGCTTCGAACCCGCCGTCCAGTGAAAAGTAAGTTATCTTTCCTTTTATATGGCTGGTGTATAGCAGAAGGGCCTCCAGTAGCCCAGGCTAGCCTCAAGCTCCATATATAAGCAAGGATGGCTTCAAACTCTTGATTCTGTCTTGTAGCAGAGTTTCCCAAGGCCGTTTGGCCCCAAATAAACCCACGGACGCTATATTAATTACAAAACCGGTTGGCTGGTGGCTTGAGCTTCTTATTGGCTAGCTCTGTCTTAATTATTAACCCATAACCACTAATCTATGGGCTCACATGACCTCTCCCTTCTGCCTACACTTCCCAGAATTCTCTTCGTTGGAAGCCCCGCCCATCCATCCTGCCTGGCCACTAGCCAAACATTAACCAATAAGAGAAACATATGTATAGAAGGACAACCCCATCACTGTCTCAGCTTCCTCCGTGCTGGGATTACAAGTATACACCACCATTCCTAGCACAGGGAAAGAAATCGTTTTTATAGTTGTTCCCTTCTGGTGGTAACATGGATGTTTCCAGACACTTGGAAGGAGAGGGGACAAGAAAGGACAGAGTCAGGCATGGGGGTACATGCCTATGATCCCAGCCCTCCCGAGACTGAGGCAGGAGGATTAGCAGCTCAAGGCTAGCCTCAGTTACATATTGGGTTTGAGGTTAGCCTGGGCTACATGAGGTTCCACCTCAAAAAAAAAAAAATAGCAAAGAAGATGGGAAGACAAGAGGAAAGACGGGATGGGAGGGGAAGGAAGGGGAGGGAGGAGAAAAGAAGGCTATTTTTGTTGTTGTTGTTGTTGTTTTTTTTTTTTTTTTTTGGCTGTTTGGGGTTTTTTGGCTTGGTTTGGTTTGGTTTTTTGTTTCTCAAGGCAGGGTCTCTGTGTAGCCCTGGCTGTCTGGAACTCAATCTATAGACCAGGCGGACCTTGAACTCAGAGATCTTCCTGCCTCTGCTGGGATTAAAGGCGTGCAGCACCACCCACCCTTTGAGAAAGCTGTTTTTAGAGGAATTTACCTACTTGTGGAGGAGAATCCAGGTGGCCTTTAGGCTCCACCCACTTTCTGGGTCTGCATGGTGGGGTTCCAGATTCTGAGCAGATCCTCCAGTCTCCCCATTACCCTAGAGCATGAGACAGCAAGCCTTTCGTGTGTTTATAGCTAGAAAACAAAACAAAGCTCAGTGAATTACCAGGAACCAAGCTTTCCTCCCTCGTCAGGGAGAGCAGGGGGTGGAGGGAGGGGAGATGCTTTTCTGATGCCCTCCAGGTGTCTGGAGGGTGAATCCCCAGGGGAAACTGGGGCCAAGGGATTCCAGTCAAAAGGATGAATGTGTCTTAAAACATCAGGTCACAGACGATACAGGATGTGTATGCTTGCCGGTGTCATTTGGACTGGATGACATTTCCACGTCCCTTGTGGGGAGGGCCCTGCTGAGGATGCTCCGGGTGGGATGGGAGATGGCCAGGCCTCGTTAACACCCTTTTCCTCTCCTCTTGGATCTTCACTTCCGCTGAACCCCAATGACTCTGCCTGGATTTCCCTTTCCTTGATGCTCCTGTTTCAACAGTATTGAAACGTAAGTTCGCAGTTCCTTCCTTCCTCCCTTCGTTCCTTCCTTTCTTTCCTCTCTCTCTCTCTCTCTCTCTCTCTCTCTCTCTCACACACACACACACACACACACACACACACACACACACAGGACCTGAGTTCAGATCCCACCCACATCTGGTAGCTCATATCTGCTTCTAACTCTAGCTCCAATGGATCTGATGCCCTCTTCTGGCTTCAGCTGACACGCACACACACACACACACACACACACACACACACACACACACAAATAATAACAACGACAATAATAGTAAATATGGAAACAGGATTCTGGGGAAACAACCCAGTGGATAAGAGTGCTTGCTGTTCTTGCAGAGAACACAAATTTGGTTCCCAGCACCCATGTAGGGTGACTCCCACCTGTAACTCCAGATGCCTGAAGTCCAGTGCCCCTTTCCGACCTCTGTAAGCACCTGCATTTATGTGGTGAACACACACACACACAGATACACACATACACGTAAATAAAAATGAAAACAAACATTTTTGTAATTGGAGATTATAGAGGCTGCTCAGTGGTTAGAGCACTGGCTGCTCTTACAGAGAACCTGGGTTCAATCCCTAGCATTCACATGGCAGCTCACAAGTATCTGTAACTTCATTTTTAAGGGGACCCAACACCTTTCTTTAACCTCCAAGGGCAGCAGGCACACATGTGGACACAGACACATGCAGGCAAAGCACCCAAACCTGTGAAATAAAATAAATAAAAGTGTAAAGGTAATAGCGACGTGAGATGTCCTAACTACCATTCTGTTCACCACCGTCGGATTCTCTTTGGATCTCCAGGTGTCTTGGGGCATCCCTTTTCATTTCAGCTCTCCTCTAAGTCCCACTGTCCTGGGCTCTGGGCTTTTGGTCCCTACCTCCAGGCATCTAATGCTGCGATTTTATTTCTCTTGTGGTCTCTTCTCTCGTGGACCCTGGACTCGTTACTACCTTCTGCCTCCTGGATGGGCCGCAGAGATCCTTGGTAAGCACCTCGCTCTGTGTGGGCCTGGGCCCTGTGCACCGAGCTGCTGCTGCTGCTGCTTCTGCTTCTTCTTCTTCTTCTTCTTCTTCTTCTTCTTCTTCTTCTTCTTCTTCTTCTTCTTTATCTTCTTGCGTGTCAGAGTGTGGGGGGAGGTGGAAATCTGAAATGTAGTGTCAATGAGGGCAGGCCTCCCCGGAAATCCAGGACCTGTCACGCACTCACCAGAACCCATGCCAGAGTGGTAGTGCACACCTATAACCCTGGGGCCAGGAAGACACAGACAGGTGGATCTATGGGCCTCGCTGGCCAGCCAGCGTAGCATATTTGGGGAGCTCAAGGCCAAGGAGAGACTCTGCTTCTAAAAATAAGATGGACAGCTCCTGAAAAAAAAAATCACAACTAGGGTTGGCCTCTGGCCTCCATACATGCAGGCTTGCATGCCTGTGCACATGGTACACTCACTCACACACACAGAGAGAGAGAGAGAGAGAGAGAGAGAGAGAGAGAGAGAGAGAGAGAGAGGAGCAGGATGCTTTCTCAGGTAAAGACACTTGGTGCTAAACCTGATGGCCTAGGACCTAAGTTTGAGTCCCAGGTCCCACATGGTGGAAAGGGTGAACTGACTCCTGCAAGTTGTCCTCTGACCTCTAAATGCTTGTTAGAGCATGCTTGTGCTCACAGTCATGTGAATAAACATATATATACAAATCATAATAATATAACGAGAGGGGGGATTGCTAGGCATAGTGCCATGTGCCTTTAATCCCAGAGGCAAAGGAAGGCATATCTCTGTGAGTCTGAGGTCAGCCGGGGCTACATAGCAAGTTCTCGGTCAGCCAGAACTACACAGTGTCTCTTTCTCCAAATAGAAAGTTTAAAGAATACATTATACCCTTAACATGCCTTCCCAAACTGTGTCAGCTTATAAAGTGTCACAGCCCCAAGTTATATTTTGAGCAATTAAAGCATGTTTCACAGAGACAGAAAAGCCAAGCTTCCGTCAGATGGGGAGACAGGTGTTTGGACAGATGGGGAGTTACAGTGTAAAATATTGTCATAGTTACCCTGAGAGGGACCAGGCTGCTTTAACAGGTGGCTGTCAACCAGCTGTCTGCCTGGCAGAATCACACTCTTCAGAACCACAGAGCGCCTTTAGCTAAGGGCTGCCTTGTGTAGCTTAGTATCTCCTAAGCGTGTTTAGTAGAGCTTTTGTATCATCAATTTATTATTCCCAGTCTCTTCTGTATTAAAAGGGAGAGAGGGAGGGAGGGAGGGGACCACAGCAAGCATGAAAGAAAGCAGGCAGGCAGGTGGGTGAGGGAGCAAGGGGCAGACAGGCAGGCAAGTGGGCCAGAATTCGGCAGGGCTTGTTAGGATACGGGGCTTGGGGGTGAGCCTGTGGGCCCTGTTGACCTGAGCTCTGTCTGGCCACCGTTTGATTCTATCTGCAAGTTTCTGTTGCCTTAGGTCTGCTGAGCCTCCAAGTGCTGCATGGTGAGTTGGTGGCTTCATCAATTGTTTTGTTTTGTTTTGTTTTGGAATATATAGAGCTATTAGTTTTTGGGGGTTGGGAGAGCCTTTAGATGTCACCAAACCCTCCCTTCCTCACCCTCACCATCGTTCGCAGCATAACCATAGGGCCTCATGCATCCAGCCAAGGGAGACTACCTCACATCCCACCCAGTGTGCTGAGTCATAGCCTAGGTGTTGAGACAGAACAGGGAATATGATTTGTGAAATATGTTCCCAGCTGTAGCTGGCAAGCTGAGTGAGATGGTTCAGGCCTTAATGCCCGCACTCAGGAGGTGGGCACAGAAGTTCATCCTGTGCCACATAACAAGTTCAAGGTCAGCCTGAACTATGTAAGACCCTGCCCCAAGCAAACAAACAACGATCAACAGACAGGGAAATGGCTCAGTGGGAAAGTCACTTGCCGCTGACCTGAGTCCAGTGTGGAGGTGATACAGGTAGAAGCAGGAGAGGATCGACCCTCATTAGTCATGCCCTGACCTCCACATGTGTACCTAGATGCACGTCTACACCACACACAACCATCGCCACACACCATACACATCCCCACATACAGACAGACCCTACACCACACACGCGCACATACCACCACCACACACACCCCTATATACACACAGACCCCACACCATACACACCCAGGAACCACCACCACACACCACCATACCCCCCATACACACAGACCCCCCCCACCCGCACACTACCACACACCTCCAATACCCTCATATACCCACAGACCCCAAACGAATTTGCAGCTAGTATTCTGCTGAGAGGGTAACCGGGTGCTCAAGGAGCCATCTCAGAGTCCGAGCACTGTTCTCCGAGGCGAGGAGCGCAGGGGACCTGAGAGCCCAGTGTGATAGGGGTGCTGGAGGGAGGTGATACCTGAGCAAGGACTTGAAGGAGCAGGCGGGACCCACACACACGTGCATACCGTATGCATTCGCGTGCATGCGCGTGTGTCTGGGGAAGGGCGCTTCGTGCAGGGGGGTAGCATGTGTGCAGCCAGGAGGCAGTAGCGTGCCTGCGTCAAGGGACACCAGTGAGTCCATGGGCAGTCCTCATTCAGTCCCTAATTTCCCCTTCCCCCTGTATCCTTCTTCCTCTCCTTCCTTCCCTCCTCTGCGGGCTCCATCTTTTTCCTTCTCAGAAGAAACGGATGACTGCAAAGAAGAAGGTGGGTGGGGCTGCGTGCCCGTCCCCGCCCCCCCCCCCCCCAGCTGCGGGCAGTTAGCGCCTTCCCTCTGAGTGAGGTATGACGCGCTACCCGGGGAAAGTTCAGAGTTCAGATGCATCAGTACCTGAGTCTTCAGGAAGCATCAGTAGTCCGCAGCCACCCTCTCCCTCCTCCTCTGCTCCTCGGTGTGGAGGTGCCCGACACAGGGAGGTAAGAAGAGGCATCCTTGCCGGGTGGTGCATGCTGCTGTCAATCCCAGCACTCGGGAGGCAGAGGCAGGTGGATCGCTGTGAGATCGAGGCCAGCCTGATCTACAGGGCAAGGACAGCTAGGATTGTTACACAGAGAAACCACACAACGATAGTAGAACACGTTGTCTTAGTCACTTTCCTATTGCTGCGATGAGACGCCGTGACCAAGGCAACGTATAAAAGGGAGCATTTAATTGGCTGGTTTTCTTATAGTTTCAGAGGGCGAGTCCGTGCCCATTGTGGTGGGGAGGAAAGGCAGGCGGGCCAGCATCAGCATGGTACTGTGGGAATAACTGGGGATTTACATAGGACCCACGGGCGTAGGAGAGACAGAGAGACAGAGATGAAGATGGAGGTTTCTCTCCCACCCCAAATAAACACACGGATGCTCTATTAGTTATTAAACTGTTTGGCCGATGGCTTAGGCTTCTTATTGGCTAGCTCTCTCTTAATTTTTTTAACCCATTTCTGTTAACCTAGGTATTTCCATGTGGTCTTATCTTACCAGAGAAGGGTCCTTCCCCAGCTACATGGCGGCTCCTCTCTGCCTCCTCTCCCCAGCATTCTCTTCCTCTGGCCACCCCCAGTCTATGCCTCCTTCTTGGCTACTGGCCAATCAGTTTTATTCATCAACCAATAAGAGAAACATATATACAGAAGGACATCCCCCATCAAAAAGACGGACCGAGTTAAGGTTCTCACAAAAGGTGGTTTGCTGAGTGTTTTCTTGTTTGTTTTCCAATGTGCGGGTAACTCATTGATGCCTAGATATGAGGAGAGAGAAGATGAAGAGTAAGTAGTTTGCCTGGGAGCTGAATGATGATGACAAAAATGGGAGAAAATGGCCACAACATCGAATGCTTAAAAAAAAAAAAAATCAACCCAGGAGATACATAGAGACCCAAGCTGGGCGTGCCAGAGAGCAGGGGCTTGTGGGTATTATCACTCATTCTCACCGTTTTTCCTTAGTGAAGTCTCCCCCAGCCACCACCACAGCCAGGGTGTTTGTGAAGACTAGTGGCTGGAGCTTTTGGAGATGTGCCTACATGGTGATGACCTTTCTCTTCGTGTCCTACAATAAAGGAGACTGGGTAAGGAGGCCGCGCCCGGGGAGGCGAAGAGGAGAGGGAGACACAGAGTAGAAAGGGGAGGAGTCTGCACAGCGCAGTGCAGCAAACGTTCTTGTCTGACTGTCTTTTGTGGGACCGCCTGCCAGCTCCCCAATGACAACAGGGAGGCTTAATATTAATTATGAAAGCTCGGCCTTAGCCTAGGCTCCCCCCCACCCTCAAACTAGCTCTTATAACTTAAATTAACCTGTCTCTTTTCATTTATTTATTTATTTTTCTTTATTTTATTTTACACACCAACCATAGTTCCCCTCTCTCCTGTTTCCTCCCCCACCTCCCTCCTACCCCCACCCCCATCCAATTCAAGGCTAAAATAAAAAAAAAAAAAAAAAAAAAACCACTGGGCACGGAGCACATAGGACAGTGGTTCTCATCCTTCCTAATGTCCCAACCCTTTAATCCAGTTCCTCATGCTGTGGTGGCCCCCGACCGTAAAATCATTTCCATTGCTACTTCATAACTGTAGTTTTGCTACTGCTATGAATTTTAAATATGTGTGTCTTCTGATGGTCTCAGAAGAACCCTGTGAAAGGGTCTGGGGTCCCGTCCCACAGGCTGAGAACCACTGTGCTACATTCTTACCAGGAACGGGCGGACGTCATACGTTAGGTTTGAGGGCTGAGGGAAATGGGGAGACCCAGGAGTTGATTCGGGAGCCCCGGTTATCACAGAGGTGACCTGGCCTTCCAGAGGACTCGGAACAGGGTCTAGAGATGTTTTATTTTGTTTTCCTTTTTTTTAATATTTAAATTTGAAACAGTTGTTTTACATGTCAATCCCACCCCTCCCGACCACCCCCACCAAACCCCATCCCATCCCCTTTCTGCTCCCCAGGGAGGGTGAGGCCTCCATGGGGGTGGTCCTCAAAGTCACATCATTTGGGCGGGGCCTAGGCCCTCCCCCTATTTTATTGTATGGGCTACCACCGAAGGGTGGAATTTAGGGAGAGGCTAGGGACAGCTCTCAACCTCCTTGCACCATGTGGACTGAACGTGACCCAGGTCAAAGGCCGGCAGCGTCAGACCTGTGTTAGAAGCACTGCTTGGGGATGTGGCAGGGCTTAAGAAAAACAAACAGGGGCTCGGGAACACAGAGAGGCTTGACCAGTCACCCATCCACAGGCGGCGGGAAGGAGGGACAAGGTGGGAGGGAGGAGGCGGGTTGGTTGATCTCTCTCTGCTTTTTAATTTTATCTCTCTGTCTCGTGTCCTCATCATCTCCCCCAGTGTTACTGCCATTATTGTAACCCGGACCTGAATTTGAGGTATGGCATGGCAGGGAAGGACATTTCCCCTTTTGCCAGTGGCTCAAGGGAGGTTAGCTTTAAAATCTATTTATTTATGCCAGGCAGTGGTGGCCCACGCCTTTAGCCCCAGCACTCGGGAGGCAGAGACAGGTGGATCTCTGTGAGTTCAAGGCCAGCCTGGTCTACAGAGTGAGTTCCAGAACAGCCAGGGCTACACAGAGAAACCCTGTCTGCATGACAGAAGAGGGCATCAGATCTCATTATACATGGTCGTGAACCACCGTGCGGGTTCTGGAAGGGCAGCCAGTGCGCTTAACCACTGAGCCATCTCTCCAGCCTCAGCTTTAAACTTTTCTCGTTACAGTTTGTTATTAAAAGACATGGGCATTGGCTCAGGGGCCCCAAGGCCAAATCTTAACACAAAGGAGATTTATTTCCCCAGAGGGACAAAGGGCAGGGATAAGAGGCAGACACAGGAGGAGGAGGAAGGGGAAGGCAGCAGGGCAGAGGTATTTGTCCCAGAGGGGACAAAGGACTGTCTCTGGGCAGTCAGGACACAGATATGGCGCACAGAAAACGGGCAGTTTGTAAAGGTGAAAGGTGAAACCCCTGTGTCTTAGTTAGGGGTTTCCTGTTGCTATGAAGAGACACCACTACCATGGCAACTCTTTCTAAGGAAAAAGGACTTAATTGGGGTGGCTTAGTTCATCACCCTCATAGTGCAAAACGCAAGCAGGCGTGGTGCTGGATAAGTAGCCAAGTGTCCTACATCTCGGCTTGCAGGCGGCAGGAAGTGTTCCGAGACACTGGGAGTGGCTTGAGCAGATACGAGCCCTCAGATCCCACCTCCACACTGACACACTTCCTCCGGTAAAATCACACCCACTCCAACAAGGCCACACCTACTAATAGTGCTACTCCCTTTGGCGGCCATTTTCTTTCAAACCACCACACCTTGTCAGGATGAGGTGTTTAATTTTAACTGGGCATGTTAATTAGGTGAGCCAAACGGGGCTTTTGATTGATGGGCTTAACACACTGACAGCTGGGCCTTGGTAGTCAGCCTCAGGAGGAGGAAGTGGCCGAATAAGGTGATAGACTTCGATGCATAGCTTTAGGGGTGTAATGTAATGTTTTAATGTGTGTGTGTGTGTTTGCAAGGAGCCACAAGCTCCAATGGGTTAGTGTCTGTCCAATTATTATTATTTGCATGTGTGCATGTGTACCTGTGTCATGGCACACATGTGGAGGTCAGAGGGCAGCTTTCTGGAGTGAGTTCTCTCCTTCTACCCCTTGGGTCCCAAGGATGAAACTTAGTCTTCAGTCTTGGCAGCAAAGTGGCTTTACCTGCTGAGCCATCTGTCTGGGTTAAGGAGAGTCTGCTTATTTATTTATTTATTTGCTTAGGTTTCTTTTTGAGACAGGGCTTCTCTGTGTAGCTCTGGAGCCTGTCCTGGAATAGCTTGGGGGAGTAGGAACAAAGTGGGTGGGCCATGGCCCTGAGGAGTGTGGTCCAGGATGGCGGCCGGTGAGCGGTGCAGGCTCAGGGGCTGCCCACGGAGTCCTATCGGGAGGTTAGGGAAGGCATGTGGGGGTATATGAAGATGGAGATGCATGTCCAACTGTGTTTCTCCCCATCTCCCGTCTTTCTCAGAGATGATCCCTGCTGCTCTTTCTAGTGTGAGCCTGGTCCACCTCCTTCAACCCACACAAGCCCTCCAGTTCCCAGGCATCTCACCTCCCAAGGTGGCCTGACAGCCCGGAGGGCAACCCAAGCGTCTGCAAGGGAAGTCTCAGTGGACCATGCCAGCGGAATGAGCCCTGCGGGGGTTTCCCCTCACACCTTCTCTTCAGCCTTTTCTTACTGTTCCTCTAATGAAATATGCTGTGTAATGGCTAAGGGTGTCTTTCTTGTGTTCACAAAACCCAGCAGACGAACACAGGTGGAGGGGTGCTAAACGTCATCTGTAATTTTTAAATAAATATTCTTTACCTCTTGAGTCGGTGGGCCTGTGTGTCTCAAGGGCATCGGCTTAGCAGCTAGCATCTTTACACACCAAACTTACCTTGCTGGACTTCAAATACAAATTCAAGGCTCCAGATTTTCCGCCTTTTATTTCTTTTCTTTTACGTGTATTAGTGTTTTGCCTGCCTGCATGTCTGTGTGAGAGTGTTGGCTACGCTGAAACTGTAATTACAGACAGCTCTGCGCTGCCATGTGGGTGCTGGGAATTGAACCTGGGTCCTCTGCAAGAGCAGCTAGTTATCTAAAATGTAAGACCCTCAGAATGAGGAGTCTCCCAGTTTCAGTTGGTACTCCCAAGAACGCAATGGCCGGTCCAGTTGATGCAACATGCAAGAGGCTTCAATGAACAGGAAACGTTTGCATAAACGGGCCCCCTCAGCACACAGGCTAGAGAGAAGCACCATCCCCCGGGGCACAGGTGTTTTTAAAGGAAAAACCCAGAAGCTTAGGGAGGGGGTTGAGTAGTGACCCTTTGAGGCCTGATGGTCTCATTGTTAGGGTCAATAGACCTTAGGGCCACAGGGTATGCTAATTAATCTTGTCTGGGCAAACCGGAGGTACAGTTATCTCTTTGTTTCTTAAGGACCCTATTTACCACCTGCTGACTCACAAGAAAGGAGGGGCAGTGTGAATTCTTGGTATCTTGCTATCTTAGGGCCAGTGGTTAGCAAATTCCGCCCGGCATTCCAATTATTTGGGCTTCATTTCATTTCTTTGCTAGTTTAAGTCATAACCACTCTGAGCAATCTCTACAGCCCCCCTTTATGGTTTTGTTTTGTTTTTGAGACAGGGTTTCTCAGTGTAGCCCCGGCTGTCCTGGAACTCGTTATGTAGACCAGGTTGGCCTCGAACTAACAGAGATCTGCCTGCCTCTGCCTCCTGAGTGCTGGGATTGAAGGTGTGCCCACTGCCTGGCTTATTTCCTGTTTTTTAATTCTTTAATAGGCACGGAAAATGAACCCATTCCTGCACCCCAAAACAGTAGCAAAGTAGATGCAGGAGAATCAGGAGTCTTGGGCCACTCTTGATTACATACAAGTGAGTTCCAGGCCAGCCTGGACTATATGGGAATTTGTCTCAAAACACAAACAAGAGGGTGAAGAGATAGAGGCTCAGCAGTTAAGCGCACTGGTTGCTCTTGTAAAAGACTTTGGTTCGGTTCCCAGCATCAGTAACTCTAGTTACCGAGGATCTGTCGCCCTCTTCTGGCCTCTGCTGGGAACACGTGGTGTACTTAACATTCGTGAAGGCAAAACGCACAGAACGTAAAAATAAAATCTTGGGGACAAAACGACCTGGGTGTTGGTGGCGCACGCCTTTAATCACAGCACTAGGGAGGCAGAGGCAGGAGAATATCTGTGAGTTCAAGACCAGCCTGGTCTGCAGAGCGAGTTCAACAGGGCTATACAAAGGAACATGTCTCGAAAAATCTTAGAGGGAGGCAGCCTCCCTGGCTGGACTTGGGAGTCCGGGAAAGACAAGCCAAGGTCCAGGGTCAGCTGTGCTCACATCTGTTTTCCACCTTCCGACTCCTGCCTGCCACAGGCGCTGCAGAACTACAACTCCCACAACCCTTCGCGCCTACCCGTGTCCTCTCCCTCCTCTTTTCCTAACAAGTCGCACCTCAAGAATATCTGGAACGCGTTTTCAGCCTCCCAAATCATTCCTTGATGCAGGCTCTTCTGCTAACAAACTCCTTTTCTGCTGACAGCCACACCTCCCGCCTCTCTGCTTCTCTGAAACGTCAATACCCAGAAGTCGCTGGGCCACTCCAAGCCTACTAGATGGGTTGCCTTGGAAACAGACAAATGCCAGACCGACCAGAAAAGAAAGCAGGATTCCGATCCGTGGAGAGCTTGTTTGTTCGCTTCCTCTTTGTTTTTTTGTTTTTGTTTTTTTTTTTTTCTTTTCTATTTTCTTGTTTCTTTCCTCCGTCTTTCACTCCCCCACCCCGTGTACAAGCTCTAATTTTTTCACGCATCCCCCCCCATGGTGTTATTCCCAGCTCCCACCCCCACCCCGCCCCTGCCTTCTCCTCAGTCCCCTTCCCCATCCTCAGTGGGCAAAAGGGGGCCACAGAGCATGCAGACGTGTCCCGTCCTCAGTTCTTGCCTTGGAATCCTTGGGTCCTTAAGTCTGGCTAGCTGGGCAGTTGCAGGTATGAGGCAGGAGAGGCTAGTCTGCACTTGCATGGCATGGCAGCCTGGTCCTGAGGGCCCGAGAGGTCTGCTGGGTGTCCTTAGGAGTCAAACCCGGGACGAAGGGCGGAGGCGCCTACTTACCATCAAAGTGGGACCTGGCCCCCAGGCTCTTCCAGCATCGCTCAGTCCCTAGCTGGTCCAGCGACCTCTTGCCTGGCTTACCCGGCCCCCCCCCACCCTAAACTTCCCCAGCCCGGGTATTGTGCTGGACGTCCCTCCCGCCAAGCTACCCCTCCTTTATAATTCAGCCATTTGGTCTGCTCTCTTCACCCCCTGGCCTCTTGATCTGGCTCTCCCCCGCCCCCCTCTCCCCACGTGGCTCAGGGGCTTGTTCTCTCTGGGCTCTCCCAGATGTCCCTGCCTCTGACCACGTCTCCCTTTTATTCTACAATAATCCTCCTCCACCAAGCCAGAAGCAGTCAGTCATGCCTGAAAAGTTTTTTGTACCCTGATCAGCCTCTCTGCCGATGCAGCAATCCAAATCAGACCAGATCAAACCGAATTAGAAAAAGCCCACGTTTTATGAATACAACGCTCAAGGATGGCCCTCCAGTCCTCCAGAGAGACGGGAAAGGGAGACCTGAAACAAAACAAAACAAAACAAAAACAAAAAACCCGCTGTTCTCTTGGAGGACAGTTTAAACGCCCCGTGGGGAGTGTGGTCTTGAGCTTCTCTGAGGGAGGGGTCAGGCTTTGTCAGGCTTTCTCCGAGGCAGCAGGGTTTGGAGAGCGATAGGGGAGGGGACTTGGGTGGAACTTACACCGTAACAATGTCCCTTTCCTGCTGGGCCATAGCGCCACATGCTTTTAGTCCCAGCACTCTGGAGGCAGAAGTAGGCGGATCTCTCTGAGTTCAAGGCCAGGCTGGTCTACAGAGTGAGTTCCAGGACAAGCTCCAAAGTTACACAGAGGGACACAGGCTCCAAAGTTACACAGAGAAACCCCGTCTCGAAAAATAAAAATTTTTTTCTTGTTCCTTTCCTTTTTATTATTTTTTTTCATTCACTAGCAAGTAAGTATAACCTACAGTCCGCCCCCTTTCCAATCTCCATGACAGTGGTGATTCCATAGTTCCTCGTGGGTAGATGGAGAAACTGGGTTGTGAGAATCTGAGCCGCACCTCTCCTTTGGGGCTTCCCACCCTGTACCCCCTATTCTTGAGATGGGGCACTTTTAGTCTTGGTTTCCCCCTTCGATAAATGAGTGATGTGTACAATTCAAGCGTTGTGAGACCTCCTCCCAGGCCCCTCCCTATTCCACCACCCCCGGCTCAAGATCAGGGGCCTCGGGTAAGATACATATGCTCCCATCTGTGAAATGAAATCACAGTATTTGCCTCACGGAGACGCAAGTGCTGTTGAGAGATGGGTACCGCTCGCACAGAGACCATTCAGATGTCACCTCTAATGCTCATCGCTGTCAGTCTTGACTGAGGATCTAAACCAAGCCGCTTCCATCCCTCTGGGCACCTGGTGTGTTCACACACGGGCTGGATGTATTGAATTGTGCGGCCGCCACGCTTTCCCCTGTGCAAACACCAAGGGCTGTCTTCTTGCTAAGGGATGCTCTAGGGCCTGGTGTAGAGCTTGTCCTTATCCTGGCGATCTCTGTGTGGCGTGAGTCACTCCTTGTCCTTCATTGAGCCAAGAGTTTCTCAAGGATTATTACCACCACCGCCACTCCGTTTCGCCCTGGTGGGATGTGAGGCGGCTACAGAAGTGCCTTGGATGGAGTTATGATTTGATAACGTAGAACCAGAAATCATTAGGGTTGCTCAAGGGCCTTTCCCCTTATACGTGAGATTTCTACTTAGATCCCTAAAATCTCAGCAGTGGTTAATTGTGCAGGACTTCCGTACTCGGCTAAGGAGAGGCCTGAACCAGACCCCAGGGTGGGACCCTCCTCTTCCCTCTCTCTAGTGTCCATCATTTCCCCCCTGTCTTTCTGTCCTGGGGCAGAGGTAAACCTGTCCTCCCATCTCAGGATCGGGTCACTAGGTCTGCAGATGGGAGACCCTGAAGGCCGAACCGCCCTTCCCGCAGGTTCTGGGCGTGGTCATGCATACACACACACACGCGCACACACACACACGCGCGCGTGCATACACGTGGTCATGCACACACGCACGCGCGCACACACACACACACACACGGTTATGCACACACATGCACAGTCCCTTTGCACACACGCGCACACACGTGGTCATGCACACACACAGTCCCTTTGCACACACACATGCACACACACACAGTCCCTTTGCGAGGCGGGAGGCGGACGGTGCAAGCTCGCGATTGCGCGCGGCGCGTGGGAGCGCGGTGCACCCGAGGCGTGGAACGCTGGGAGGAGCAGCACCCCAGGATGGATGCGTGCTGCACGGACGCCAGCGGGATCCCGGCCCAGCCCGGCCCACCCCACCCCAGCCCACCCCATCCCACCCCAGCCCACCCCACCGCACCGCACCTCCGAGAGGAGCGCGCGCCCGCGCCCGCAGGCGAGCAACGCCTCCCTCGGCGCGCGCTACGCCAATCTGTGCAGGGCGCGGCCCCGCCCCGTCTCCCGGGCTCTGATTGCGCGAGCAGCGTCAGGGGGCGGGGCCCGCGCTCCCGGGGAAGCCCAGGGGGCGGGGCCGCGCCCGTGTACGTGTTGCTGGCCGGGGCAGCTGGAGGAGCGGCCCCCGGAGGGGACCCCTGCGGGCCCGGGAGGCGAGCGCGCAGGCGCGGGGGCTCGGCTCGCCCGCAGTTCTTTCCGCAGCTGTGAGGTTGAGGGCGCAGCAGGGAGGCAGGTGAGGGGGCTGGCGGCCGTGTGCGTGCGTGTGTGTGTGCGATCGTGCGAGTGTGTGCGCGATCGTGCGAGTGTGTGCGCGATCGTGCGTGTGTGTGTGTGATCGTGCGAGTGTGCGCGCGCGTGTGTGCGATCGTGCGTGTGTGCGCGCGCGTGTGTGCGAATGGGCGGTTTGCGTGGCCGAGCACTCTGAACTGCTCTCGTGATCTGAGACGGTTCCGAGCTCTCCTCCCGCCCTGTGCAGGTTTGGCACGCTTTGTGGGGTGGACCCGCTGTGAGGATCCTTCAGGTGATTCCACGTGTGTCTGTGTGTCTGTGGGGGTGGGGAGAGGGAGGGAGACGGCACACTAGGCCTGTGGGCCTCCAGAAACAGGTGAGAGACAGACAGACTGACTGACTCACTGAGTGACTGACTAGGCCTGTGGGCCTGAAGAAACAGATGAGAGACAGACAAACTGACGAGGCCTGTGGGCCTCCAGAAACAGGTGAGAGACAGACAGACAGACTGAGTGAGTGACTTGTGAGGCCTGTGGGCCTCCAGAAACAGGTGCGTGCACCAACTGTGATCTGTGGCGTGCGGAAAGATGTGGGATGTGGGAACACGGTTCTGAGCATCCGGCTCTACCCGCGGGTGTGTGCGGCAGACTGATGGGGCTGTTTATAACAGTCTGGGAGTAGTCAGGCCCCAACAAGTGTGGGTACCAACTGCATCGTGGGAAAAGGAAGCCACCGAGGGCTGGAGGGGGCTGCAAGTGTAGGCTGGGCACACAGTCCTGGGTGGGTCTGTTGTTGCTAGCAGTGTGTGTGTGTGTGTGTGTGTGTGTGTGTGTGTGTAGAGAGAGAGAGAAAGATGAAGCTGTTTATCATAGCCTGGAGATACCGCGTGCCACCAGATGTCAGTCACTGGCTTTGTTGAGCGTGTGCCATTGTGGCCATTGATTGTGCCTTATCTCATCTGTTACTATGGCAACAGGCTCCTGTACAGCAGGAGGTGGCGATGGCTACTCTGGAAAGCTGAACCTTCCCATCCAAGGATGAGACTTCTCCTTCTGTACAGCAGGATAAATAACGCCCGTCAGAGCGTTGAGGGGAAGGCTAAATGGGATAACAAACACATCTGGTGGCCGGTATAATGCCGGGTCATACTGAGTGCAGTGTAGGGTCAGGCCGGCCTCTGTTGCTTTCGTGCTGTGTCAGTGACCTGTGTGCAGGTAGGATTGCAGTGACGAATCCCAAAAGAATGTGTGTCTGCTTTTGGAATGTGGCCATCGCCCACCTCTAGCCGATGTTCCGGTCTCTCCGATTTGAGTGCGGTGCATCCCCACCCCCTTGTACCCCTAGGGGAGCAGTTACCTCCCCGTGCCTGCCTACCCTGACCTGCGGAACCTGTTGTGTATCTTCCTAATCAGGGTATTGAGGGAGATAAATGGAGGTGGTGGGGTAGACACAGAGGGCCTGGGGCCAGCCACATTTAAACACTAGCATGGTGGACGTCACCCTTTTGGAATGACCGGCCTCGTGGAGTAGCCTCAGCCATCATCAGCAGACCCTTCATTTCATCCCATCCCTTATTTTCTTCAGTATTGGTCACTGCCAGAAGAAGTAACCCATTTATTGGGCCTGTAACCTGAAAGGAAAGAATACAAAGGAAACGTTGCTGCGCTAACAAATTACCCCAGATTTAATGGTTTCAGACCTCGATGTGTAGTCAGTATTTACCGATCTTTGAAATTAATTAGTCCAACCGGTAATTACTCTGTTACTTCTTAAAGTCCCAATCCCGGCGTATGCTTTTTGTTAGGCAGATTCTCTGGGTGTGGCAGCTGCCGGGGTAGGGCAGTGAGCGAAACCGTCAGGATCCTTGCTCTCGATCCTGGGTCACCGCGTGCCATGTGGACTTGCTTTCCTTGCCTGAATGGATGGTTCACGGGGACAGGTACCACCTCACTTTAACTCTCCCTGTAGCGCCTGGCACCTGCAGTCACTAGTCAGAAGGCGGGCCGGGGCCATGCACATGTTTCGTCTGTGTTCTGATCTGGAGCCTGCGGTGATTTTAGGAGCTGAGTGTTGTATGATGCCTTCCTTGCTCCTTCCCAACCCTAAGCGGGTCACTTATGTGCGTGCGCACACACACACACACACACACACAGACACACGATGGATGGATGGATGGATGGAAGGAAGGATGGAAGGAGGGACGGACAGACTTGTGGAGAGGTGATTGGGGACCAGGGACTTTGGGACCACTCCAACGGCCATTGAGTTTCATGATCTCTCTTTTTCTGCCAGCACTCTGCCTCAACCTCTGAATGTGAACCATCAAAGTCAGGGGGAAAGGATGCCTGTAGCACGAGGGAAATCAAAATCCAAGGTAAGTAGTGACCCCCTCCCCACATACCCTATTCTGTCTTATAAGATGTGGCCCGTTTGTTTCCTTTCTGGAGACCTCCTGCCTGTAAGAGCCGGATGTGACGCCTGGTGGTCCTCCTGTTTCTATGGAGATGGGACCTGAGGAGTAACCGGTACCCAGAAAGCTGCTGTGGGTCCCATCCCCATTCCTCTCAGTGCTCACATGACCACTCACAGCCCATTCAGCATCCTTAAGGACTCTGCAGGACTCAGAGATGCCCTCCCCACAAAGAACATGAGAGCTCTGTAGCTTCTTTGGCTGGGGATGAGTACCCAGGGGGGACCCACACAGCCAAAGGTGTGTGTGTGTCAGATTAATCCAGCTGTATCACTTTGTCTTTCTTTGTAAAGCCAGTACTCACATGGAAGAGGTTTACCTGGTCACGGAACAACAGTGAGGAGTATAATTTCAGAAACAGAAAAGTGAGCGCACAAAGCACTTGCTTCCCCGCTGGAGTTGATCAAATGAGTGTCACATCCACTCAAGGGCAGTGTCTCATAATTTCCAGCTGGCCAGTGGTGGCTCACCCCCTTTTAATTGCAGCACTCGGGAGGCAGGTGGATCTCTGTGAGTTCAAGGCCAGCCTGGTCTACAGTCAGTCCCAGGACAGCTAGGGCTACACAGAGGAACCCTGTCTTGAAAAACCAAAACCAAAAAACGAACAAACAAAAACCCCACATTTCTCAGTCTGGAGATGTTGCTCAGTTGGTAGATTGCTTGCCTAGGATGCATAAACCCCGAGTTCGAGTTCCGGCACCCCCCCCCCAAACAGAGTGTGTACTCAAGAGATAGGGACAGGAAGATGGAGAGTTCAAGGTCGTCTTTGGCTACATAATGAGTCCAGGCTAGCCTTGGCTACCTGAAGCCCTGTCTCATACTAACAAGACACATTTCCCTCAGTTTCCTGTGTTTGTTCTCCCTTGCTGTCCCAATAACTTTACATCAACATACATTCCCTGCCATTTCTGACTTGGTCAGGATTCAGGCACAGCGTGGTTTAGCTGTGTCTTTTGCTCCTGTTTCCCAGGATTCAAATCAAATTGTTGACTAACTTTATTTTCACTAGGGGCTTAGGTTGTTTTCCAGGTATGTTTGTTATTAACAAAATTCTGTTCAGTTTTACATTTTTCCACATTTTCCACCCTTCTCCATTTTCATGGGAGCAGCACTCAAGCCAGAAGAGGGCATCAGATCTCACTACAGATGGTGTGAGCCATCATCATATGGTTGCTGGAATTGAACTCAGGACCTCTGGAAGAGCAGCTAGTGTTCTTAACTCTGAGCCATCTCCAGCCCCCAACGCAGCATAATCTTTAATAACAGATTTATTGTGTTACATTACATGCTATTAAATTTATTTAATATCTCTGCTTTTTTTTTTTTTTTTTGTCCCAGAACTCCTGTCATGATAAGTCTCACATATTTGTCATTTTTCTCCACCATACAGTAGGAACTTTTGAAGCTCATGGCTGAATAGACTTGTAACTTTATTCATTTCAGGCATCAGTGACTTTTGGAGACATAGCCATCTACTTCTCACAGGAGGAATGGGAATGGCTGAGTCCCATTCAGAAGGATTTGTACGAAGATGTCATGTTGGAGAACTATCAGACTCTGGCCTCGCTTGGTAAGGTGTCTCTATGCTCCTCTCTGTCACCCCATCAGTAATCCGAGACCAGCCTGTGAAGGCATGTGTCAGTCAGGGTCTATTCAGGAGATTGGAAGCTGCTTAAGTTGTGTGCCTTTCTTTTTAAAGGCTCTGTGTGTCCGTGTGTCTGTGTCTGCTTCTAAATTACACAGTCCGTCGAGTTTTACTGTAATCACAGCATTAGACATCAGTGACCATGGTCAGTTTTAGGACATTTCCATTACGTAATCTCCAAGGAAACCCTGTAATTGAGAGCAATTCATTTCCCTGGAGACTGGGCAACCCGCAGCTCTTGTTCTGTCTCTTTGGAGTTGCTAATCTGAGCCTTGTGTGCAAAAGAAATGGCAAGCGTGTGGCCTTTTCTCTCTTAGTATACTGTCTTGAGGTCCGTCCCATTGCAGCGCACATCAGTACTTGGTTCTGATTCATTACTGAATAATTACATTGTCTGCCTAGACTTCTTCGTCCGGTTTATGTCTCGTTAACCGGTGGGTATTTAGGTTGTTCCACTCTTAATGAGTTGCCGCCGTGAGGAGTCATGAACAGGTTTTTGTTGTTGCTGCTGTTTGTTTCTCAAGACAGGGTTTCTCTGTGTAACGGTCCTGGCTATCCTGAAACTCGTTTTGTATGCCAGGCTGGCCTCGACAGTTTGATCCCACAAACTGTCCCCTCCTCCAGGCTTGATAGAACTGAGATAAGTACTTACATTTACTAGTTCAGCATAAACGACACTACAGAGGCCGCGCATGAGGCGGAGAATTAGGAGCGATTCAGGGGAAAGAGTGCAGAGTTGCCATGCCCTCCCTAAGAATGCTACTCCCCACATGTGTTCGGCAGCTCAGTACTTTTAGTCTCCTCCTTTGGGGACGTAGGGGCTTCGTTATGTTGGTTGGATCGATCAGTCTCCAGTCTCTCACTAGCCCTGTGGTGAAGTCAGGGGATGGGATGGAGCTCTGAGCTCTAATCACTGTAGGTCTCTTGGTTTCTCTGGCCAGTCCCGAGGAGCCCCTGTGCACTTGCTAACTCATTAGCCTAGGAAAGACACCACTTCGTAGAAAATCACCATTGCCCACCCTTATCTCTACCCTATCCCGTTTTTAGCGGCCCCTCACATTCTGTATATTTCCACTGCGGTGACAAACCCACATTTTTATTGACACAGGTCCTGGCTCCAATTTCTGTGGCGCCCTCGTAATGCTTGGTTCCTTTATCTGTTCCCTGTCCAGGTCTTGTCTGTAGGAGACCAAATGTCATCGCCTTGTTGGAGAAAGGGAAAGCACCATGGATGGTGGAGCCGTCAAGACGGCGCCGCGGCGCTGGTAAGTGAGGACCACAGCCTAAGTCACATCATTCAGTCTGCAGAAAGATGCCAAAGCAATACACACACTAGCATACCTGTACACAACAGAAATATACTTTACAGGATCTTAAGAGCTGGTAGTTCTAGAAGGAAGACTCTAGCAAACATATGGTCTGGTGACAAATCGCTTCCTGGTTCATAGCTGGTGCCTTTCTTCCTTTTCTCAACACTGGGTTTCCCTGTGTAGCCTTGGCTGACCTAGCGCTCACTCTGCAGACCAGGCTGGCCTCAGACTCACAGAGACCCGCCTGCCTCTGCCTCCCGAGTGCTGGGATTAAAGGCGTGCGCCACCACCGCCTGGCAGAGGTTGCCTTACTGTACTGTCGTCACTGGGTAGGGAAGGGTGAGGGAACGCTAGAAGGACACTAATACCAACCCGCAAAACTGATTGAGTTCGAAGAGCCCTTGCCATGCATCCTAGTGGAGAGGTGGACATATTCTCCTGAGCGCCGTGGGATCGCTGTTAGATCAGGCACCTGACCTTTTAAGGCAGAGGTCACTCAAGAGGGCAGCACTTTACCCCCGGAAGAAAATCCGCCCCAGCCGGACCCCTCTCTGGGGCAGAGGGTTAAGGAGCCGTTCCGTGCTGTGGTCTCTACAGCTCCTAAAGTATGGTCCAGGCTCCTCCATGCTTTTGGTCAGATACCCGACGTAAGTCATGTGATGTAAAAACTTCCTGCTACTCCTGGAAGTGTTATGAAAGTCGGTGTTTCCTGTGTTTGAGGGAGTTCTCTAAAGCCTCCTCCCAGCCATGCATCTCATGGCTCATGCCTCAGAGGCTCTCATTGTGGGAGTGCCCTCCCCCCCTCCCTCAGCCCTCCTCCTGCCTTCTTTCCCTGAGCCTCTTACTCTCTCTTTAGAAGACGCTCCTCTCCAGGTCAAGCCTCCTCTCCTCTCTCAGGCCCCAAATGATGTTTGGCTCTGGAATACATTGAACTTTATACTACTCCACACTCTTTGTGCCTCAAGGCCTGATTGTGGTCTTGAGACTTCACAACAGGCAACCCTCAGCTTCTTTTCCTGAAGCAACGGTTTGTTGCCTACCGGTATTCAACAATCACCTGGGAACTTCCTCTTTGAGACCTCCCCACTGCACATGGCAAAGCCTCGGGCCTGTGCAAAGGGCTTGGGTGTAGGTCTTTAGGGAGAAGATAACAGATGTTCATTTAGTCTCTGCTTGGCGTCAGGTATGCTCTGCGGGTCCCGGTCCCTCCCAGCAACGCTGTAGTGCGTGCAATTAGCGCCTTTGCGTCATGGGCAAATGGATGGGGCACTTGACGTACCCAGAATTGGAACCTAGTCTGCCTTTGTGTTCATAATTCGGGTCTTCGCCTCCTTCCCTCTGACACCCCATGTCTGTGCTTTCTCTGTGATCAGAAGAGGTATCGGCTGACCTCTCTGATGACAACGCTCATTACGATAATGCTCGGATTTCAACGATTCTGTTACTCCTTAAACGGTCTTCATCTGATGGGCGGTGGTGACAGCACTCGGGAGGTGGAGGCAGGAGGATCTCTGTGAACTCGCGGCCAGCCTGGGCTACAGAGGGAGTTCCAGGAAGGCCTGTTACACAGAGAAACCCTGTCTCGAAACAAAATAGATGCTTGTCTCTTCTGTAATGTTTCTTTTTGGCTGCTGTTCAGTGACTCCCTTGGCACAGAAACTCCTGTTTGGTTGTCCCAGTTAAACATCTTTAGTCTGAGTCTATAAATAGCACTTAATGGAGTTTTCGTGCAGATCACCGTACCAGGACCTAGGTACAAGCCAGGGAGAAAGGCCACTGATGGGCAACTTTTAGTGACCAAGAACTTATGAGAGCAGTGTGGTTGTCACTTTTCAGTCACTGTCAAATGCTGGAATCAGCACAATAGAGAGAGGCTTAATTTGGTTCATGATTTTGAAAGGTTTAGTCCAGGGTTGACCGGATCCATTGTTGTTGAGGCCCAAGACGAGGCATGGTACTGGAAATGTGGAGTGAGGACGGCTTAACCACGCGGTAGCCAGGAAGCGGAGAGAACAGGAGGGGTCTGGGGACACGGTGCGTCTTTCCCAGGCACACCTCCAGTGACCTACTTCCTCCATTTTTGCCTTTTCTTTTTGGTTTTTCGAGACAGGGTTTCTCTGTGGCTTTGGAGGCTGTCCTGGAACTCGCTCTGTAGACCAGGCTGGCCTCGAACTCACAGATCCACCTGCCTCTGCCTCCGAGTGCTGGAACTAAAGGCGTGTGCTACCAACACCCGGCTTCAGTCCAGCTTCTTATTTTCTCCAGCCTCTCAATAATGCCAGCCTATTAGGAATCCATCAAGGGGTTAATCTAACCAGTGAAGGTAGATGGGCCCTCACTGTCTGGTCACCTGTTAGGGATTAGACCCACCTTCTGGGGAACATTTTCATGTCCAAACCCCAGGAAGTTATGTAATACAAAGAAGCCAGCGCAATACCAACCTGCCAGGCAAGGTATGCCCACTGGTGCAATGGTGCCATGAAGGTTATGAAGGTGACCAGTCACTTTCTGATTGGGTTTGAGCCAAGGGGGAATTTATGCCTTGTACTGTAATCTTGCTCAGAAGCCTCTGGCTCAAAAGTCAAGGGCCTTGGAGAATGAGGACAGGTACTACTATTTTTTTTTTTTTTTTTTTTTGTACAACATAATGATGTTTTGTTTTAAGCCACAGACGAAATTTAGCCATGTTACGTAAGGTTTAGAGAAAGCAAAAGTTGACAGGCAAGGTTACCTAGTAGTCAGTAACAAGCTTTCCACGAAAGCGATGGTCATGGTTATGGGCAATTAGTCTAGTTTTGCCTTTGTCACAGCGATTCTCATTTCTTATTAATAGCAGCGTGTTTATGTAAGTTCCCCCTGCCCCGTTTTTGTTGTTGTTTTGAGTCGTAGAAATGAGAGGCTGGATTCAAGAGTTACACTCTAGATATCTCTTGAGTTGCTTTTCAGAGTTGTGATGTTGTCGGACGGACCAGAAGCCTTTCCCGGGGTGGCATTTCTAGCTTGTTTGTTGCTGGAGGGGTGAGCACCGCCCCTGGGACATACGGGGAGACCACTCCCAAAAGCCTGCCCCGCTGCTCCTCTGGGTCTCCTCATTGACTCGTTCCCTTCGCCAATTTTCCTTCTTTTCTTTTACTGTAATACGGTGTTTTTCAGCCTTCCTCCTGCTGCAACCCTTTAATACAGTTCCTCATGTTGTGGTGACTTCCCAACCATACTATTATTTTTGTTGCCACTTCATAATGGTGATTTTGCTACTGTGATGAATTGAAATAGGATGTCTAGCATGTGACACCCCCCCATCCCCTGTGAGAGAGTTATTTGACCCCCAAAAGGGGTTGAGAATCGAAGCTGTGACAGCTCAGAGTTTTGCCTGACTCTAACCAGCAAAGGAGATCTAGCAAATGAGAGAAACCCTGTCTCAGAAAACAAACAAAAGTAATTTCCATAAGACCTTAACATAGTAGTAAGGCACATCGTTCTTGTTAGCATTGTGTTGTTATAACCACCAATTATAGTGACTCCTTTTTTTTTTTTTTTTTTTTTTTTTTATTGCACAAGCTTCATTTCTTCAGTACAGGAGAACTAATTCTAACTTCTTGGTGCATTTCAGAATCAGGGTCTAAGCGTGAGACCAAGAAGTTACCACCAAATCAATGTAACAAATCTACGCAAAGTACCCATCAGAAACCATTTTCTCCACAACAAAAAGTCACCACAGGGAAGACAACACAAAACAAAAATTCATCGGGAAGAAAACCCAAGAAAGGACATTCAGGCAAGAAATCTTTAAAGTGCAATGATTGTGGGAAAACGTTTCTTCGAAGTTTGTCTTTTAAACTTCATCAAGACTTTCACACTGGAGAGAGATCTTATGGATGCAGTAATTGTAGACAAGTTTTCAGACAGATCTTATCCCTCATTCTTCATCAGAGAGTTCACAATCGGAACAAAGGCTATGAATGTGATAAATGTGGGAAAACTTTTAATAAAAAGTTAACCCTCATGATACATAGGAGAATCCATAACGAAAAGGAAAATTTCAACCATGAGGAGGCCCCAGGTTCATGCCCATCTCTCAGTGTACACCATAATAATCACATTGTTGAGGGTGCCCACCAGTGCAGAAAATGTGGGAGAGCCTTCAGCCGAATGTCGTCCCTTTTACTTCATAGGAGAATTCACAATAGAAAGAAAATGCAGAAGTATAATAAATGTGGGGCAGGCTTCAAGAAGAGGGCAGCCCTTGTCAATACAAAAAATTGTACTGGAAAGAAAACTCATGGAAATAAGAAGGCCTTAAGTCAGAGTCTCAAGCAGAGATCTCAGTATTTAGAAAATCCCTTTACATGTAGAAAGTGTGGGAAGTTCTTCAGCAGGGTCTCGACCTTAATGCTTCATCAGAGAGTTCACACTTCGGGGAACCCCTACAAATGTGATAAATGCCAGAAAGACTTTGGACGGCTTTCAACCCTTATTCTGCACCTAAGGACTCATAACGGGGAGAAGCAGTTTAAGTGCAATAAATGTGGGAAGGTCTGCAATCGGCATTCATCCCTTATTCAGCACCAGAAAATCCATAAAAGGAAAAAGAAACTCTTCGAGTGCAGCGAATGTGGGAAGATGTTTTGTGGGATTAAAAACCTTAAAGTCCATCTGAACATTCATTCAGAAGAGAAACCTTTCAAGTGCAATAAATGCAGTAAAGTCTTTGGCCGTCAGTCGTTCCTTATTGAACATCAAAGAATCCACACTGGAGAAAAGCCCTATCAGTGCGAAGAATGTGGGAAAGCCTTCAGCCACCGAATATCCCTTACCCGGCACAAGAGAATTCACAGTGAAGACAGACCTTATGAGTGTGATCGGTGTGGGAAAGCCTTCAGCCAGGGGGCTCATCTTGCACAGCATGAAAGGATTCACACTGGAGAGAAGCCCTATGCATGCAAAACATGTAAGAAGTCCTTTACCCAGCGCATATCCCTCATTCTACATGAACGAAGTCATACGGGGGAGAAACCCTACGAATGTAACGAGTGTGGGAAGGCTTTCAGTAGTGGCTCAGACCTTATACGGCACCAGAGAAGCCACTCTTTAGAGAAGCCGTATGAATGTAGCAAATGTGGTAAGGCATATAGTCGGAGCTCATCTCTGATTCGACATCAGAGCACGCATTCAGAGGAAAAATCCTGACGTTTTCGCCATCTCTGCAGAAGCTAAAAGGGTGGCAAAGCCATGCTCTGAGGCATGGAGAGTGTGTGTGAGTATTCTTGACTTGGGACAGTGTATGTCCTGATACACTCACCAGAAGTTGAAACATTTAAAAGAAATAGATTCTGTATACCTACCCTACCAAATGTGATCGTTTAGCATAATGTGGAGTCCCGGTTGTTCACTCTCCTGATTGCATGGGTTCCTGAGGGCTATGGCCTGATCCTGCTGCCTAGCGTCTGGAGAGTAGCAGCGCCTTCTGCTTGTCTGCAGCCTAGGGAAGCACCACTATTTCTAGCTTAATGGATACCACTTCTGTGCCATCATAACACCGAAGAGTCCTAAATCTGGAATCATTAATTGCAGGGAGGAAACTATCTGCCTGTAACATGTTTTAGTGTCTATGAGGCCGTTTTATGATGTCCTCCCTTTTGAAAGCCAAAGAGCAAAAGTAGTTGCTGGGTTTTGAACTGAAGATGTGAAGTCGGCTGAGGAGTGCTCGGGATATTGGGTCGGGGCTTGTGAATGGAGGTGTTTTTCGGTTGGTGTTTCGTTTCCAGTGTAGTTCTGAGGACAGTTCACTGGATACATACAATGAGATGGAACCACAAAGTCCACTTTTTTCTGGACGGTGCTTTGAGGCAGAGTTGAGGTCCCAGGAAAATGGACCTCAGAACTAGAACTCCTGTACGTAAGGAACTAACAGTCATAAGGGAAACAGGGTGCCTCTTTCTCCTGACAGAAATGTGTTGGGGGTGAGAACAAAGGAGTGTGAATGTTAAAGGCAGCGTTCACAGTGGTGTGGCGCTGTAGTCAGTACCACACCGCCTCCGTGGATGTGAAGATACACTGGAAATTTAGGACTGAGGCAGGCCCGGGGCTGGGGTGGGTGGGAGGTACTGAAGAATTCGGAACGTCAGAGCAGGGAGAAGTTATTTTATACTTTTTTTATTTGAAAATAAATAGTCTATATTTATATAAACAGCATTTTTCATGTAATAATGCTAGTTGGTATACAGAAAGTAACTATGTGTCTGTGTTTTTATGGCCTGAATATTTGTGTCACCCCAAAACTCATATGTTGAAACCCTGACCTCTCGGTGTGATGATGTTTGGAAATGAGACAAATGAAGTCAGGATGCGGGTGGGGCCTTTTTGATAAGTATATTGATCAGGGACACCAGAGGGCTTGGTCTCTTTCTGTACCGGCTGAGAACACGGGCCACCATCTGCAAACCGAGAAGAAGCCCTTACCGGGACCTGACCAGTGTGACACCCTGACCTTGGGTTTCCAGCCACTGAAGGAACTATAAGAAGACCCTCATTTCTCCTTAAGTCAACCAGCCTGCGATACAGTGTTATAACAGCTGGAGCCCATTAATGCGTGGAAGAACTCCTGGGTTAATGGGCTGGCTGTTTTCCTTTGAGCTGTCCAACATGTCCAGTGTATTTTTCTGTCCCTCTTTCTAGCTTGTGTAAGTGATGTAAGAAGTAAAGTCTGAGTTCTTTTGTGTGATTAGATTGTATACAGTTGTATACGATTAAGCTCTTTTGTGTGAGTTTTCCTTCTGCAAGAGCTATCTAGGAGAACACTTGTTTCTTGTTAAGAAAACTTTGTAGTGTTTGACCATGGGTGGGGGGAGGGCTGCCTAATTTTGACCACCAGTGTTGGGGTTAGCATGGGAAATAAATGTCCGCCATTGGCTTATCATCCCCAGCTGGTAGGAGGCTCTGGGAATTTTAAGTGAGGCCTTACCGGAGGAGCTAGATCATGGGAGCGTGGGTGTGTCCTTGGGGACTGTGTCTTAAATTTTTCTTAAGAATTTAAACTTTTATAAGTATGAATATATTATAGAAGATGCAGACCCACAGGCAAACATTAGGCAGAGCTCAGGGAACCCTGAGGAAGAGGGGGAGGAAGGCTTGTGTAGAAGCCAGAGGGGTCAGGGACACGGCCCACAGAGTCAGCTGAGCAGGACTCAGGGCTCACGGAGACTGGAGCAGCAGTCTCCGAGCCTGCAGTGGTCTGCTAGGTCCTCTACGTACATGTGGTTGTTTAGCTTGGGGGGTTTTGTGGGACCCCTAGCGGTGGGAGTGGGGGTGTCCATGACTTTCGCCTGCTCTTCAGACCCTTTTCCTCCTACTGAGTTGCCTCATCCAGCCTTGACATGAGGGCTTGTGCCTAGTCTTGTTGTAACTTGTGCTGTTTTTGATTGATATTCCAGGGAAGTGGATCTGGGGGAGAGGGGAGGTGGTGTGGGGACTGGGAGAAGAGGAAGGGGAAGAGAGGGGAAGCTGAAGTCTGGATGTATCGTACGAGAGAATAAAGAGTTTGAAATGTCTTACATGTGTGAATGTTTTGCTTACATGGATTTATGTGCACCATGCACACGCCCGGTGCTCTCGGAGGCCAGGAGAAGGCACCAGATTCCCTGGAACTGGAGTTATGGTTGTGAGTCACCATGTGGGTGCTGAGAATCGAACCTGTGCAATAACAAGTGCTCAAACCGCTGAGCTATTTCTCCACCCTCCTCTCCCCTTTCAAGTCAACCAATTTTTAGTGTTTTGTTACGGCAGCTCAAGCTAATACATTGGGGAGCTCTCACAAGAACTCTCTACCCCTCCCTCCTCCTTTCCCCTCTCTTTTCTGATTACCACATGGGAGCTCTGCCTGCCCTAAATAAATCTTACCTTGGTTTGCTCAGGTATTTTGTCTCAGCAACCAATAAAAAAATCTAATACAAGTAGAAAATAAACAAACAAACAAACAAAAAAACAAAACAATTTGCAGGCGGGGTAAAAGCAGCTGGCATGCTGTTTTAATTTTTCAGATATGTAAACAAAAAAGTCACTGCATCAAATGTTTGAAGAATGATACAGAAGGGGATCAAGGAGAGGCATGCTTGTCTCTTTACATTTCTAACCCCCTTCACCTATATTCTTTCTCATGTGCCTGCCTGGAAGGTTGGTTCCAGGTCAACGGTGTCCCCAAGAGGCTGCCATCTGGGATTGTGGCTCAGTGTTAGAAGAGCACATGTATTCTACTTTGCTGTGATAAAACATTGACTAAAAGCAACTCGGGAAGAAAGGTTATTTGGCAAACACTTCAGTGGCATGGTGGGTCCAGCACTGTGAACTCGGGGTAGGAACTCAGAAAGCAGTAACTGGAGAAATGTTTCCTGGCTGGTGCTCAGACTTTGTTTGAAAAGGTTAACAAGGGTGGCTTTGAGGTGTCTGGGGGAGGGTAAGTGGGCATTGTGACAACATGGCTTCTTTGGAATGTTTGGGATGTTTAACAGACATCCTTGCAGTGTAAGGTGACACTTTTAAAATAAAGTTCTCTCCTAACGAACTGAGCCCTGCCATTCAATGGGAGGATCAGCAGAACCTGTAGGGTTTTATTTGGAATTGACATTCTCTGTTGTAACTTTTTTAATTTTTAATTATTATTATTTTGGTTTTTCACTGGAAGGAAAAAGATACCCATTTTTAAATGTTGAAGTGTACAAGTTGCTTTGTTACAATAAAAACAATGTGTACACAAAGGACCAGATGCTTTTCTGTCCGGGCAGATACTCACTATGCCTTCCAAGTTTGACCTGCATAATGACATCATCAGGCAAATCTGTCTAGATAGTGTGTAATTTTGCACAGGACTCTCTTTAGTAAATTCATCACTGTATACGTCAGGAATCTTGCTCCAATAAAGGAATGTGAATTTTTTTTTTTTTTTTAATAAAGGGGTCACTTTCCAAAAACACCTAATCTTAAATGGACATAAGTTGACTGTATTACAGAGATACAAATTAAATGAAGTTGAAGAGCCAATAGAGGGCTGGAGAGATGGCTCAGAGCCTAAGAGCATCTGACTGCTCTTCCAGAGGTTCTGAGTTCAATTCCCAGCACCCACATGGTTGCTCAACCATCTATAATGAGATCTGTTGCCCTCTTCTGGCCTGCAGGGACACATGCAGGCACAATGTTGTAAAAAAAAAAAAAAAAAAGCGAATAGAAGCAGGATTAATAAATACATCTGAAGCAGGTAAAATTGGGATAGCTTGAGCTACCCACATACCTTATTCAAAAAAAGTGTTTAGTAACTTCACCTTTAAGCTACATGCAGGTCAGAACACAGTGTGACTAAAGACAAATCTCTGGTCTTAGGTATAGGCATGGCATTTTGAACTGCTCAGAAGGGTTTTCTGGTAAGGAATAGAGATATGCCATTGTTTTCCTCCATTCAGACTTAATCCAAATGGGCCTGTCAATCATACAGAAAAATGCTGTTGGGGAAAACTTTCTCTTCTAGATACAATAGAAATAATATTAAGTCTGCCTAGCTTTCTGTGGCTATTGAGATGTAGAACTGGAGAGATATCAGTGGTTATGAGCATAGCATCCACACTAGACGGCTCATCAATCCAGTGCCTTCTCTGGCCTCTTTAGGCACTTGCAAGCACAAATGCCCATACACACTCTTTAAAAAAAAAAAATAACTGGAAATGTGTGGGGTTTTTTGAGGCTGTCCTGAAACTCGTTTTGTCGATCAGGCTGGCTTTGTATTCAGAGATCCATCTGCCTCTGTCTCCCAAGTGCTGGGATTAAAGGTGTGCGCCAAGCCAACACTGCCCAGCTGGAGATGTGTTTTAAGGCCAAAGCTGTGGTAGATCTTGGTAAGTGCTCTAGTTCACTGATTACTGATCAGATTTTCTGCTTGTTTTATAAATACCCATTTTTCTTTTGTATACATGCATATATATATATACACACATATATACATATACATATACATATACATACACATACACATACACATACACATACATACATACATACATACATACATACATATATATATATATATATATATATATATATAGTATCTCAGTAAATTCTACCTTGGAGTGATTGCTTTTTTCTAAAAAGCAAGTGTAGCTTCATAGAACTTCAATAATGAAATTGTTTTTCTTATCCAGTCATGTATTTGCATACTTATACTGTGAAATAAGTTAACATATTTCCCTCTATCAACAGTTTAATGTCAATCCAACTGCATTAGATGCCACCATTTAATATGTACACACACACACACACACACACACACACACACACACACACAAATAAATTAAGATAGGGTCTCAAGTAGCCCAGGCTGGAGTTGAACTTGCTATGTAACCAAGAATAACCTTGAATTTTTATGCCCATCTTAAGTGGTACCAGAGACTGAATCCGGGATTGTATTTGCTAATGAAGCACTTCACAAGCCCAGCTGCATCCTCTGTCTCCAACTTCAGTATTTCTAGTTAAAACCAAAGTTATAATGCCCCAGGTCTGTGTTTTTGCTTCTTTATGATTAAAATGATCAACTCTTCTTTGGGTAGCATCATATCTTTATTGTGGATTAATATTATTTTATACTAGGCACTCTGCTAAGAAATTTACATGCATTGTTCACTTCTCCCATTAACTTCTGAGGTAGAACCATTATAAGCATTATTAGTCTTATAATATAAATAAGACTGAAGATTACAAATGCTCTAAACTTAGGGATGGAAAATGGAAGAGCAAGGATTAGAGTCTAGATCTATTTTAATTCTGGATGAATAGAGAGGGATACTGGTATGCGGTTTTAGAAGGTAGTTTGAAACAAGGTACTGGGGACAAGGTGGCCTGTTAGGTTACTTTAAGGACTGTGTGCTTTTTCTCTATGGACTTCTAGATGTCAGTAAGTAATCTTAAGTAATGAAGGATATGTATGACCCAAATTTGTTTTTCAAAAGTTTGGCTTTAGTGTAAAGACTGACAGAGGCATGGGTGAATACACTGGAAAGCCATTTCAGTATTCCAAATAAAACGGATTTGACATGTAGAAGACAAGGATGATGAAATATAAATAATTCTGATGGGTCAGATTTGGATCATATTTAGGAGATCAAACCCATCTATAGCTACTGGCAAATGATTGGATGTAGAGGGTGATGGAGAGGGAAGGGACAAAAATGCCTCCATAGTATGGACCTTCTCATGATGAGCAAGGTGTGCACGTTGCCTGAAGGATTTCCTGCAATCTTTACATTCATATGGCCTCTCTCCAGTATGGATTCTCTGATGTAGAGTAAGAGATCCACTATAACTAAAGGCTTTCCCACAAATATTACATTCATACGGTTTCTCTCCAGTATGGATTCTTTGATGTTGAGCCAGGCCTGCATTCTGGCTAAATGTCTTCCTACATTCCTTACACACATAGGGTTTCTCTCCAGTGTGACTTCTCTGGTGCTGAGCAAGTGATGAACTGTTGCTGAAGGCCTTTCTACATTCGGCACACTCGTAGGGCTTCTCTCCAGTATGAACCCTCTGATGTTGATCAAGGTAAGCGATCTGGCTAAAAGCCTTCCTACAGACTTTACACTCATAAGGTTTTTCTCCAGTATGGACTCTCTGGTGTTGAGAAAGGTGTGCATACTGACTGAAAGACTTCCTGCATTCTTTACATTCATAGGGTCTCTCTCCAGTATGAATTCTTTGATGGACAATCAGGTATCCACGGTGACTAAATGCTTTCCCACACACATTACACACATAAGGCTTCTCCCCTGTATGAATTCGCTGATGCTGAGCAAGAAATGAACCGTTACTAAAGGCTTTCCCACATTCCATACATTCAAAAGGTCTCTCTCCGGTATGAATCCTTTGATGCTGAGTCAAGTGTGCAATCTGGCTGAAGGCCTTTTTACATTCCTTACACTGATAAGGTTTTTCTCCGGTGTGAACTCTTTGATGCTGAGCAAGGTGTGCATTCTGGCTGAAGGCCTTCCGACATTCTTTACATTCGTAAGGTTTCTCCCCAGTATGGATTCTCTTATGTTGAGCTAGGTTTGCGCTCTGGCTGAAGGCCTTCCCACAGTCAATACATGCGAAGGGTTTCTCTCCAGTATGGATTCTCTGATGGAGAGTAAGGGATGAACTCTGGTTGAAGACTTTTTCACATTCATCACACTTGAGGACTTTCTTTTCTACATGGACCTTCTTATGTTTCATTTCAACAGACTTTTTCTGGTAACTTCTCTTTTGTGGCTCACACCGATGTGTTCTTTCTTTGGTGGAGAAACTTTGGGGTATATCTAGTCTTGCGTCCTGATGGAACGATTGCCAAGATGGATTACCCCCACTACTTTGGCCTTCAGGGATGTCTCTATGAATGATGAGCAGCTGGTTAGAGTGCACCTCCTGAGCTCCCAACTTGTTCCTAACCCGGTCTTCACTTGCATGGTCTTCCTCCAAATTGGGACAGTCAAGGCTATAACTAAGATGGCTTCTTTCCATGGGTAGGACTTTGGCTGATTCTTCATAAATATCTTGCTTTGATGAAAATTCAATGCCTTTAAATGCATAATTCCAATCTAAAGGACGCCAAGAAAACAGATATTTTAAAACTCATTCATTATAAGAAAAGAAAGTGATCAAAGAGAGAAAGATTAAAAAAATAAGTTAAGGAAAGTGATTAAGCTGAGCCCAGTAGCATACACCTTTAATTTCAGTACTTGGGAGGCAGAGCAGGTGGTTCTTTGTGATTTTGAGGTCAGCCTGCTCTACACAGTGATTTCCAGGACAGTTAAAGCTACTCCATAGTTAATTTTTACATTCTAGGAACTGTTTCTGAAACAGTTTTCTTTGTAATTAAGTTCTAAATATAAAATTTTCAGTTGATTCCTGAAACCACCCTGTCTTCTTGAAAACTTAATTTCCTACCAAACTGCTTGCTTTTATTAACTTAGTACAGGCTTTAATGTGGCTTCTCCTTATTGGTCCCAAATAAGATTACCTCTTTTAAAAACCACATTTATTTAGTGTGTGCACATAAGTGAATATTTTAACATTTGTGTGGAGTTCGGAGGACAACTTGTGGGATCTGGCTCTGTCTTTTCACTGTGTGTGTCCTAAGGACTCAGGTCAGCAGGCTTGGTGGTAAGTGCCTTTACCTGATGAGCTATCTCAGTGGCCCCTAGTCACCAAGACCAGGGTCTTAGAAATTGATAACTCTTGGCAAAAATTAGCAAATGCACAGTGGGTTTCATCAGAATTAACTATATTGTCCTCTATATTGACATAACCACATCCAATACTGGTCCAATAGATATCCACAGTCTGTTCAATAAGTTAGGCCTTTTCAAGGGTCATAAGCCATATCTCAGTACTTACCAAAGTGCTGACTGAAATCAGAGAAAGATGTTCTCTATCCTCAAAAGACATAATGATGCCTGGCATGTATTAACTACCAGAGTATTAAGGAACAGCTGTAATTCTAAAGTGCTTATAATTACACAACAAACTGTAAATCTTTGAGGTGCTACCTCAGAAGAGAAGAAAAACATAAACCCTCAGGAAGTAGAAAAACAAGATCTAAGTGAGAAAATAACGCTGTAGAATCAACAGAGAAAGTGAAGTCAAAACTATGTTCCTTTATAAGGATCACTGATTAAGAAAACAGGAGGAGCCAGGCAGATGCACGCCTTTAATCCTGGCACTCAGGAGGCAGAGGCAGGTGGATCTCTGTGAGGGAGTTCCAGAACAGCCAGGGCTGTTACACAGAGAAACTCTATAAATAAAAAACAAATAAACAAAACAATAAAAAATAGAAAAGAGAACTAAACAAGAGGGCTAGTAAGATGGCTCAGGTTGTAAAGGCATCTGCCGTTAAGCCCAATGACCCGAAGCTGGTCTCCAGAACCCACATGTAGAAGGAAAGAGCCAACTCCTGAACATTGTCCTTTGGCCTCCAGATACACAGACGACACACAAAGTAAATAAATGATTTTAAAAATTTATAAAAGTTAAAAAAGGAAAAACTGCCAACATCAGAGCTGAAAGGAGTTAATCATCATGTTCTACAGAACCAAAAAGATACTTTTGTTAACTTGTGCTGACTGGACAATCCATATGAAATGCACATTCTCTTAAAAGATAAAGCCTTAACAAAGCTGACGCAAGAAGAGTTAAATCACCCAAACAGTCCTGTAGTCATTGGATCTGTTCCCTACATACGTCCTCACTAGTGAATTCCCAAGATTTAAGGGGAAAAGAATTCTATTCTGTGAAACCTTCTCAGAAAGTAGAAGATGATAAAAGACTCTGAACTTGTTCTTACAAGTCCAGCATTATCTTGAAAGTAAAGCCAGATGAAGATATTACAGGAAATTAGATTCACCACAGACCAGTGGAGTGTCTAGACATAAATGCAAATGTTTACCAAAACCATAGCAAATCAAATTAATAAAATATAAGAAGCACAATTTTTGACAAAAATAATTAATTCAAGGAATGCAAGGTTGGTTTAATATCAGAAAATCATCAGTGCCATTCACTATGTTAATGGTAAAACAAATAAACAAACTGCATGATCAATCATATCAACTGTTGTAGAATGAGTATTTGAACTGGTAAGTAGAAAAATTTTAGCAAACTAAAACTAGAAAGGGATCTGATCTCTCTCACTTGATATATAAACACGGTCCCAAGTAAAACTCTTTGAGTAGAAACTCTCAATTTCATTCTAAAATTGACATGAAATGTAAAGGTTCTGAAACAGTCAAAGCCAATTTTACAGAAGGTTTTACACTGTGTTAAAGCTTAATATAAAGTAACCTGTGTCAAACTCCTCAAATCCTATGATGTATATGAATGCAGTTTACCGTCTTTAAACATATCGAATGATTGACACTACCTGAGACAGGTGCTGGTAGTGGACACCTTTAATCTCAGCACTCAGGAGGCAGAAGCAGGTGAATCTCTGTGAGTTCAAGCCCAGCCTGGTCTACAAACCAAATTCCAGGACAGCCGGGCTACAAAGAGAAACTATTTCAAAACACTCTCTCTCCAAAAAAAAAAAAAAAAACTTACATAAAAAACCACTATCTGATCAAATACAATAAATTTAACCAAAATATAACGGAACAAGAAAATTATCTTCTAAACAACTCAAGTGAATGGGAAATGTCAAACTATAGGAAAGAATAATAAGAAAAAGTGTGAACTATCAGAATCTATAGGAGACGCTGAAGATGCACAGAGGAAGTCTCACAGCCCTTGATAATTTATCACCAAATAAGACAGAATGAAATGATCGGCAGGCAAAGATGGAGAATACAATAAATGAGAAAATTGGGAGGAAATAAAAAAGCCAAACCCGAGAACTGAAAAACACAATGGTAACACATGATAAACACACACGCTGGATCTTGAAAAGTAGAACTGATTTATGAATAGCAACCTAATACATTATTCCCAAGTGGTAAGAATACAAGATAAGAAATTAAAATAGCAAATTATTCTAGTCATAAGAGAAAGTCATGAGATTACATTGCTCAGGTTCATGGAAATAAAACTGATAACATAAATGGAAATTACTACCCAAACACATACAACTTAAACTATAGCGACTATTTACTACAGAGGATGCTGAGAATGCTTCAAACATCCACTTCCCCGAGACCCCAGCACCGGCTGGCGCCTCTCAGCCATTCGTTCAGTGTCTCTAAACCAGACTTCCTTTCAAGTCTCTTTCAGTGGGGTTGCAGGCTGCACTTTACACCCATGCTCTCCCTCTCTCCCCCCCCCCAGACAGAATCTCCGGTATAGCCCAGGCTGGCCGGGAGTTCACTACGTAGCTGAGGATGACCTTTAACTCCCGACCCTCCTGCCTCCACCTCCCCAGTGCTGGGATTAGAGGTGTGCACCACCAGGGCAGGTTTATGCGGTGCTGGGGATCAACCCAGGATTTTACAAAAGCTGGGCAAGCGCTCTACCAATGGAGTTATTTCCCCAAGCCCTGGAATTCTTTATCCCTCTAGTCAAACTCATCTCTCCTCCTACTAACCCATTTTCTTCTGATTATTTCTATTTTGAGTTATCACCCTGGCATTACCCACATTTGAAAATAAACTCGGAAGAGTGCTTTCTTTTTCTCTCTGATGGTTCACAAACTTCCACATAACCCACAGCATTGAGCAGGATGCCGTGCCCAAAGCAGCAAACTCAGTGAAGGAGTAAGTGAATGAATGAATAAATGAAAGCACCATTCTTTCAGTGTAAGAGGATTGAGTGACTGGGAAGGAACAACGAGTCTTTTTTCTTTATCTTTCTTTTGTTTCTTTAGTGCAACAAATCAACTAGTGCAAAACTAAGACAAACGGACAAGGACTCATCATGACATGTGGATGCAGAGAACTGGGAAGTGAGTTAGCAGAGATAATAGTAACTTGTGAGATAACGTGTACAGAAAACATAATTTGGGGGATTATGCTTGTGTTTCTTCCTCGGCCTCAATGCTAGAATGTACATTACACTCAGTCTTTAAATTGTCTCATGCTGGACAGGAGAGACTGCTCAGTACTTAAGAGCACACGCTGCTCTTCCAGAGGACTGGGCTTGGTTCCAAGCACCCACATGGCGTCTAACAACCAGCTGTAACTACAGCTCCTGAGGATCTGATCCTCTTCTGGCTTCTGTGGGCATACAAGTGATGCACAGACGTACATGCAGGCAAAACACCCACACACATATAATAAGAATGAATAATTTTGGGGGTAGGGCTAGAGACAGGGTTTCTCTGTTTGGTTCTGGCTGTCCTGGAACTCTCTCTGTAGACCAGGCAGCCTCGAACTCACAGAGATCCACCTGTCTCTGCCTCCTGTGTGCTAGGTTTAAAGATATGCACCGCCAGTACCTAGCATGAATAAATCTTTAAAAAAATTAATTGTCAGGTAGAATTAGTTCACCCACTTCAGACTCAGGTATGCATGTCTTACAGTGTCCTTGTGTGGGGATGGCCTGTCCCTCCCAACCCACCCCTGTGAGAAGGGGGAAAATAACACTATAATATACAATAGCCCCCAGTAGAAACACCATGTCCACAGTGCTAGAGAGATGGCTTAGCAGGTAAGCACACTGGCTGCTCTTGCAAAGGCCCCAGGTTCAGTTCCCAGCACCCACATGGTGGTGTAGAACTGTCAGATAATCCAGGTCCAGGCATCTGATTACCTCTTCTGGCCTCCACATACTATGCAAACAAAACACTCATACACACGAAATAAAAATAAATCTTACAAAGAAGGAATACCATGCCCTTGAGGACAGGAGAGTAAAGTGTTAGAGCATCGGTTCTCAACCTTCCTAATAATGTGACCCTTTAACACAGTTCCTCATGCTGTGCTGACCCCCAACAATAAAGCTATTTGCGTTGCTACTTCATCAATGTAATTTTGCTACTGTTATGAATGATAATGTAAATATCTGTGTGTTTCTGGTGGTCTTAGGCAAGCCCTATGAAAGGGTTGTTCCACAGCCCCCATGGGTCGAGACCTGCAGATTGAGAAACACTTTGTTTTAGAAACAAAACAAAACACTGTGTCCTTGAGCACAGCTAGGAGGAAGACATTCCCAGGCACCTTCCCGAAGCAGCTACTGCCCACCCTATAAAACAAAAAACACCTGTAGTGGGAATGGCTGATGGTGGGAACCACTAACAGGAAGTCTCACTCGGGGAGGCGATCTGCCTGGAGCACTCTGCCCATCAAAAGGGACTGGTTCCCAGGATTCCCTCCTCAGTGTGAGCATCTAACCATCCTGATGCTCCAATGCCTCTCTGCAGCTTGCTGTTTATTCTTCTACTGCTGCAGACTGAGTACCTAATAAACCCACTCAGGCTAAACCAGCATGTTGGGTCGACCTCTCCATGGACCACATGCTTTAACAAACCTACTCCAGAAGCGCCAATGATGAGCTGGGCCTTTGCCAGCATCTGAACCTTCCCTGACCGGGGCAGCCACATCCCTAGCTTGTCCCCACTCACCAGGGCTCACATCACTTGATCCCTCCTCCTGCACCATCCAGGGGTCTTTTCCTTGTTCCAGTAATGAGATCACAGCTGGCTTGTAAACAGGAATTCCTGCTTCCAAGAAACAAGAGGAATTAGCCCCTCTCAGAGATCAAATCAAGACCCCTGTTCATAGGAAGGTGAGACCTTACAGGTGGGAGCCTGGTGGATAAGACAGCTACTGGAGTCTTGGACTTCTGTTAGTAGACAGCCACTGTTGGACTGGCTGGACCACAGCCTGAAGCTGTTCTAAAAAATCCCACATGTGTATATAATATATAAAGTATGTATATATACATATATACACACACATACACACTACATGTATATATACACACATATATGTATTTATAATGTACTGCATAAAATATAGTATATATTATACACGCACGCACGCAAGAACACATAAAACAGTAAAAGGGGCCAGTGAGGTGGCTCCATTTGGGAAAGGCACTCACTGCCTGCCAAGCCCCCTGATGAAGTGTGTTCCATCCCCAGGACACACATGATGCAAGGGGAGGCCAACCCCTGAAAGCGGACCTCTGATTCCCATGTGTCCCACAGCATGAGCATGCATGCAAACACACAAGTATACGCAATTTTAAAACTTTAAAAAATTTAGTGAAGCAACTCAGGCATCTCAGACATTTTGCAGAACACAGCCCCATGTGTAGAACTGGAATTCGATAGAGCCCTCCTTACCCAGCGAGACTAGACTCCTATAGTTCTCCAATGTCACCTTCCTGTACAAGTCTCTCTGAGCGTCGTTCAGCCATTTCCATTCCTCTTGAGTGAAGTTTACAGATACATCCCCAAATGTCACCAACTCCTGAAACGACATAGACATACTCTGGTTCAAGTCCTCACTTGGGCCGACATTAAATAGTTAAAGTTGGACATGGCAGCACATTCCTGTAATCCTAGCACTCAGGAGGCAGACATGGCATTCCGAGTTCCAGGGCAGCCTGGGCTGCAAAGCGAGTTCAAAGCTATATTGTGAGACCCTGTCTCACACAAACAAATACAATAAAATAATACACAGCACAACAGAAAAGACTTAGCACTAGCTATACTTTGGGAAGAGCAAATATGGTTTGCCTTTTTGTTGTTGTTTGTTTTTGAGACAAGGTCCTGCATGTGGCTCAGAGCTGTCTCAAATTCACAACCCTCTGCCTCAGTTTCCCAAGTGCTAAGATTATGTGTACCATCCTGTGTATCTTTACCTCCTACCCCATCCCCTTCAAGCCGGCCTTGAACTCTTGGCCTTCTGCCTTAGTCTCCCCAAGTGCTGGACTTACAGGTATGGCCACTGTAAGCCCTTCAAGGCACAAGTGACCAGGTCCCACCCCCAAACTACTCTAAGGACCACAAAGGCAGTTTCTAGTCCCTGGAGATGCAGGTGGTCAAACTCTGCCCTACACAACAAAAAAGAAAAAGAAAAAAGAAAGCCCAAGATCAGGAGAAAAGAATATCACCAATCCCTGGGTTTGCTCCAAGATGAGGCCACAAAATCCCAGCAATCACAGGCCACTCTGCAAAGCTCTTCCCCCTAAGAAATCCTGTAATATAAAGTATAAAGCCTGCCTCCTGTTCGATCTCCGGCATCTTCTCTCCTGAGCAGAGGCAGACATCTTCTTGTGTCTCTCCCAATAAATCTCTTGTGAGGCTTGTTGTGGGGCATGACTTTGTGGTATTCCTTGGCTCCCAACTGCCAGGATACCTTTCCCCTCAGAGCTGTAACACTTACAGCCACCACTTTACTTTCTAAAAAATCCATGTCAAATAATTACTGTGCTTGGTTTTGGTATTCCCTTATGAGGAGTGTGTAACTTCTGAGAAACTATCTGTCTTCTGCAGAAGAGTCACCATACATATACAGATCCATAACATTAAAACCAACCCAGTGCTCAATGGGTGATTCATAGTAAATGCCAAAGAATTCCATTTGGAGAAAACAGGATACACCTGGGCAGGAAAATAGGAGTGTTATTGCGTAATGAGTAAGGGATTGGTATTACCTTAGACACTTAAGAATTTACAAAAGTGATATATAATTAATTAGATGTATCCAAACAAGGCAAAAGAAGAAATAAAGTTGTAAACAAAGAGCAGATTAAATAAAAGGAAAGTAAGGACAATGTTAGGTTTACACAAACACGTGTAAGTGATAATGTTAAGGGAAAATGTACTAATTAAAAGACTACCAGGCTTTATTTTCATAGTCAATGACAGGCCCACTTTAAAATGTTATCTTTATTGACAATGATTATTTTTAAGAACTTACTTATGTGTATGAGTGTTTTGCCTGCATCTACGTCTGTTCACAATGTATGTGCCTAGTGCCCATGGAGGCCAGAAACGGGCATTACAGATATTACAGATGGCTCTGGGTGCTGGAACCAAACTCAGGTCCTTTGGTGTATACACACACACACACACACACACACACACACACGCAGTTGTTCTCAACCTTCATAATGTTGAGACCCTTTTTTTGTTCATTTGTTTTTTGAGATAGGGGTTCTCAGTATTGCTTTGGAGCCTGTCCTGGAACTCAATTTGTAGACCAGGCTGGCCTTGAACTCACAGAGACCTGCCTCTCCTTCCCTAGTGCTGGGATTAAAGGTGTGTACCACCACAGCCTGCCTTCATTTGGGTGTTTTAACTGTCCTGACAATCTGACAAAGGCTGAAGACATGACTCAATTTGGTTCTCAGCATGGGATGCTCACAACATGGTGTCTAATAATCTGTCTGTACCTCCAGTTCCAGGGGATCTGACCCCCTCCCTCCTCTGATCTCCTTGTGTGCCAGGCATGCACATGGTACACAGGTATTCATGCAGGTAAGACATTCATACGCACAAAATAAATCTAAAGAGAGAAAAGAAAGTGCCCTGACAAAAATAACTCAAGGGGGAAAGGATTTATTTGAGCTCACAGTTCAAGGTTACAGGAAGGTCCATCACTGTGGAGGAAGCAACTGGGGCAGGGACTGGAGACTCCCAGTCACGCTGCATCCGCAGTAAAGAATGGTGGTGGCACACACCTTCAGTCTCAGTACTCCAGAGGCAGAGGCAGGTGGATCTTTGAGTTGGAGGCCAGTATGGTCCACAGATCGGGTTCCAGGACAGCCAGGGCTACAGAGAAACCCTGTCTTGAAAAACAAACAAACAGCTGGGCTTTGGTGGCACATACCTTTAATCCCAGCACTCAGGAGGCAGAGGTAGATTGATCTGTGAGTTCAAGGCCAGCCTGGTCTACAGATCCAATTCCAGGACAGGCTCCAAAGCAATACTGAGAAAAACCCTGCCTCAAAAACAAACAAACAAAACAAGGAATGCCCGTCCCCCCCATGAATTAATACATTTGAATCTTAGTCATCAGAGAGTAGTACTACTTGAGAAGGATTAGGGGGTGTGGCCTTGTCAGAGGAAGTGTGTGAGGAAGTCTATCACTGCGGGAGGGTTTTGAGGTTTCAAAAGCCCAAGCCAGGCCCAGTAGCTCTCTACTCAATTTCTCCAGCATCATATCTGCCTGTGTGATGCTATGCTCCCAGCCATGATGATAATGGGCTAAACCTCTGAAACTGTAAGCCAGTCCACAATTACATGCTTTCTCTTATAAGAATTGCCATGGTCATGACATCTCCTCACAGCAATAGAACAGTGACTAAGGCACTTAAGGATGTCTATGGTCCAGGGTCATCTTCAGTGAATAAATACTGCTTCCTATACCGGATATGTCTTCCTACCTCAGCTAACATAAGATAAGCCATCTTCTCCCAGATGATTCTGTGATGGTCTGAGTGAAATGACTCCCATAAGTTCATATGTTTGAATGCCTGATCTCCAGTTACAGGAACTGCTTGGAAAGTGACGGGAGATGTCATTCTGTAAATATGTTGCTCTCATTGCTTAATGAATAAAGCACTGTTGGCAAATAGGAAGGCAAGATAGGTGGGACTAGGAGACAAGGAGGATTCTGGGATGTCGTAGAGAGGAGTCAGCATGAAGGACAAAGAGGAGTAAGAGGTCCGGACCCTCTCTCCAGTAAGATGAGACCACGGTGAAGCACTTAGATTGATAGAAATTGGTTAATATTTAAGACAGAGCTAGCCAATAAGAAACGCTAGTAACAGGCCAGCAGCTTTATTTAGAGTCTCTGTGTGTTATTTGGGGCTGATGCGGCTCTGGGACCAGGCTGGAGGGAAAGTGCATGTAACAAAATGGCGACTACAACGTGGGTACTAAGAACTTCCACTTAAAACTTGACAAAAGCTTAAAAAGGGATTTTAGAAACAAAAGAATACAGGCATCAAGGCTTTTTGGTATCAGCATTTTCCTCGGGCAGGCTCTTTTGTTAGAGACAAGCAGAGACTCACAAGGCTCCTTCAAGGGAGGTTTCCTGATTCAGCATAAGCAGAAAAAACTGCAGGGCACTTTTAAGAGGCCCTGCTAACAACTGAATGGTGTGCATGAGCAGATGGCTAGAACAGCTGAGGTGTAAGAAGTATGGTTTTTCCGCCCGCCGCCTGGTATTGTCCTGCGCCACGCCGCCAAATATTGTACAAAGACTCTGTATTTGATATTATACTTATCGGCTAGCTCTTTCTTAAGTATTAACCCATTTGTGTTAATCTATGTATTTCCACGTGGTCTTCTTACTGGGAGCCGGCTGCTGTATACTGCTCTCTCCAGACCCTCCATCTTGACTCTCCTTCCTACTTCCTATTTTTTCCTTGTCTCCTAGTCCCTCCTATCTTCCTTTCCTATTGGCCAACAGTGCTTTATTATTAACCAGTATGAGAAACATATACAGAATGACATCTCCCATCACTGAGGTTTTAATTTTATCAATGTTGTTTAGCAGATACAAAACCTGTGGCTAGAAAAAAGGTAGAGATACACAGTAAAGACAGATTCAGATAAAGTAAATCCTAAAAGGTTTTTATGGTGTGTTTAAAAATATACATAGGCTTGGGAAAGAAAAAGAAACAGGATAGAATGGTTTAAAAGAAATTAAAAAGAGAGAGAGAGATTAAGAAAGAGAGTAGCCGGGGAGTGGTGGTACATGCCTTTTATTTCCAGCACTTGGGAGGCAGAGGCAAGCCTGTTTCAAGGCCAGCCTGGTATGCAGAGTGAATTCCAGGACAGGCAAAAGTTACACAGAGAAACCCTGTCTCAAAAAATGAAAAAAACAGAAGTAAAAGAAATAGAGTAATAGAAAATCCACCTTAAGATGGGGAATACACAGAGTCTGGATATTGTATGTTATTGTGATGTCTCTGAATTGCTCAATGGCTAAGAAAGGAATAACTGCTAAAATATACTTGATTATCAGCGCTGCTAGAATAATCCAATTTATATATTTTAAAAATGCTTTAACTTTACAATTTAAGTCTAAGAACAAGTTACTGGGAGAAAGAATTTCTATTTTTGTTTCCACAGAAAATGAAAAGCTGTAAATTCCTTCCAGACTAGCATGGTCTGATCAAGCAAAACCCTCTGAAGCAGGGTCCTAGGTGATCCAACATTCAAAACAGCTGGGACAAGGCAGCCTTGGAGACTACAGCCAGGATTTCTGCATCTTTTTAGGTATTACATCATCCCCTACCAGTAGGAAGCAGTTTGGAAAGAACAATGCCAAAATTCCCAAATATTATCTATAAATGTTTGTTTTCATCTAAATGGGGTTGGTTATAAATGGTTAATGACCACAACCAATCTCTTTTTAAAGGTAAAAAAGGGATTATGGTATAGATATGAATACTTTGTTTTGGAATGGATTTTCATTTGTTGATACAATTTAAGGTCAGTTTGTGATATGTGATATTTCTCCTC